TTAAAGTGCTACTTCAAGAAGCATGACTGCTCCGATGACTTGTAGTTGTTATTGTGCTTGGAGACTGTATGTACAACGTTTTGCTATGAAACGCTGAGCATACTGAGTTTAACCCCTTTGCTGCCAGAGATGTAACCAAGAGAGGTGTAACCAGTAGCTTGATTAGCCAGTCTGGAAGAAGAGTTTTAGGCTGGTTAACGTCAGTTCTGTGCAGATTGCATGGCTGTCATCAGTATGCACAACATGCTGGCAACAGGTGTCCAGTGGCGGCATTGCCCCTCTCTTTAATGCTGCTCAAGTCCTTCTTTCAGCCTATCTGGCCTGACATCCGCACCCCTGCAGCGAGGTTGAGTGATGTTAAAGTAGGAGAATTGGGATAACTTAGCCTGGGCACTAGAATGGAGGAACGTTTTAGCTTTATCTTTAATTTTGAGCTGAAGGAAGGGGTTACCTTAAGCCATAACAGTACTTTATTTATTTGTGGTCCTATTCCATTGTCCCAGGTTTGATCTTTGGTGTTCTGCATCTGGTGAGACCAGAGCCTTGGTCCCTCATAAAGCCTAGTGTAAGCGTGTTATTAGTGGTGTTAACGCTGCACATTAAATGCTCTGTACATGCACAGCCTTCAGTGAGTCTGGTCAATTCACGCCAGACTAACCTGCCTCCTTTCTGGCTGGGCTCACCCCCTTTTTGGGTAGCTCCCTGCTACTTTGGGCATCAACAGTAATGTAAGTCAATTCACTACAAAAGAGGATATTGAAGACACAGTCTACCATGCAAGAGTGCACAAACTCATGCCCCAGAAGCTGGTAGGCTAACCAGAAAATAACAAAAAGTCCAGCACGATCCTTAATATGATTTTTTTTTTTATCTCAGTGTAAAAATAACATGTTATTAATAGGCCTTTCTCAGATGTATTCTAAAATGATGCGTGGAAAAGCATTTGTGACTTTCTAGTTTACGGTTCATCCATTCCCAAAATATGCAGAGTAATTATCAGAGGCATGGTCAGGTTTACGTCAATGGAGCTTAGCTGTACATGCAAGACAAACAGGATCTGTTAAGCCAAAAATAGCTATGCACGCACATTTTTTCCACAGTTATGACTGCTGTGGATCTGTTTCTACAGCATATTAAATTGCTATAATGTATCCAGTGGTTTAGTGAGTAGGGAAGAAATTCTCTGCTATCCCTACTGCTGCATGTTCCCAGTTACTTACTTACTTGTGCCATTAGATCAAACCTAAATGGTCAAGTTCGAAAGGTTTATTGAAAAGGGATTCCCCCTAATCTGCTTTTCGTGGTTCTGACTAAAGTAATTAAAAGTGATTCAATGTGATTTTTTTCACTTTTTTTACAAAAATGTATAACATATATAACTTATATAAGTGGGATGAGTATGATAACTCCCACTATAGGCACCCAGACCACTTCAGTTTAATGAAGTGGTCTGGGTGCCAGGTCCATCTAGGATTAACCTTGCTTGCTGTAAACATAGCAGTTTTGGAGAAACTGCTATGTTTACGTTAGGGTTAATCATGCCTCTAGTGGCTGTCTCATTGATTTTCTCATATTTGAGAAGACGCCAGCGTCCATAGGAAAGCATTCTCATGCGCATTCATCCGATGACATCAGAAGAGGGAGGAGAGTCCCCAGCGCTGAGGGAGCCCGGCGCCGGAGAAAGGTGAGTGTTTAACTCCCTTTCTCCAACTTCAGCCCGGCGGGAGGGGGGCCATGAGGGTGGGAGCACCCTCAGGGCACTATAGTGCCAGGAAAACGAGTTTGTTTTCCTGGCACTATAGTGGTCCTTTAATAAATTGAAATAATTACCTTTGAGGGTTACCTCAAAGGTTAGTGGTTTTCTAACAGACAGCCAATAGAGGGACCTCTGGGGGCTTAGGCAACTTTTGATCGCCCAACTGATGCTGGACATCCTCATGCTAAGCATCAGGACATTCAGCATAATCTAAAATCTCATAGGAAAGCATTATACAATGCTTTCCTATGGGGGGAAGTCCTAATGCAAACATGGCCATCGCCGTGCATACAGATTAGGCCTCTCCAGGAGGAACTGGGGGACATTGGCGCTACTATCAGGTTAGACAGCAGTGGTTTTAACCCCTTCTGCACCACGGGGTGGGGGGGATGGGCTATGCAAGGAAGAGGGGCACTAAAGGAAGCTATAATGCCAGGAAAGCAACTTTATTTCCCTGGCACTATAGTCACTATAGTTTCTTTTTAACATGCCACTGGAGGCAATTCTGCAGCTATAGCTCAAATGACTCTCCTGCGGAGTATTTGGTTGGTGTTGCACAGCATTTTGCTGCAAGCAATGGTGCCCTATAGGATTGGCTGAGATCTCCAAGAATACTGGTCTTAACCAGGGAGGTGGAGCTGAAGCACACAGACCATTGCACATTTAAAATAAGTAAAGCTGACCTTTTAATCATTTGCAAGGAGAAAAGAGGGGACGCCTGCATAGGTAGGGGAACACTTTACTGTTCCTTTAAAAACCTACATGCATGAAATAAATAGTCTTCTTATCTGATATTATATTTCACTGCATTAGCAATAAGTCTGGGATTATAAAGAAAATACACAGATAGGATAAGTGCTAGAGTGTCAACCATGGGCGTGCGCACGGGGTGTGGCGGGTGCGCCTGGGCACAGCCTAATCCCCATGGCCCAAACTATGTGCCTCCCTCCGTGGGCTGGTAAGGGAGATCTTTGATCTCCCTCACCAACCCACAGACAGGGAGGGAGGCAGGAGAGGACCCGGGGAGCTCTAGCCAGTAGCTCCGCCGGGTTCCTCTCGCGAGGTCGAAGCGTTGCCGCGGCAATGCTCAGATCTCGCGAGAGTGAACTCTAGCCCCGCAGGCTAGAGTTCACTCACCACTAGGACCACCAGGGATGGCAGCAGCATGGGATATTAACTAAACGGTCCCCCCACCCTCACCCCACACAATACACACAAACAGCACACACAAACACTAATAGCACCCACACACATACATCACCCTTACATATACACACACAGCACACCCACACACATACATCACCTTTACACACACAGCACCCTTACACATACACATACAGCACACATTCACATAAACAGCACCCTCACACTAACAGCACCTTCACACATACAGCACCCTTACACACAGCACCCTTACCCATACACACACTAACAGCACCCTCACACACACACAGCACCCTCACACAAAGCACCCTTACACATACACACATGCACAGCACACACTAACAGCACCCTTACACACAGAGCACCTTCACACACAGCACCCTTACACATACACACAGCACACACTAACAGCACCCTTACACACACAGCACCCTTACACACACAGCACCCTCACACACTGCACCCTTACACACCACACCCTTACACATAAAACACTAACAGTGCCCTCACACACACAGCACCTGTACACACACACACACAGCACCCTTACACATACACACACAGCACACCCACACACATACATCACCTTTACACACACAGCACCCTTACACATACACACACAGCACCCTTAAACATACACATACAGCACACACTCACACTAACAGCACCCTCACACTAACAGCACCTTCACACATACAGCACCCTTACACACAGCACCCTTACACATACAAACACTAACAGCACCGTCACACACACACAGCACCCTCACACACAGCACCCTTACACATACACACACGCACAGCACACACTAACAGCACCCTTACACACAGAGCACCTTCACACACAGCACCCTTACACATACACATAGCACACACTAACAGCACCCTTACACACACAGCACCCTTACACACACAGCACCCTCACACACTGCACCCTTACACACCACACCCTTACACATACACACACTAACAGTGCCCTCACACACACAGCACCTGTACACACGCACACACACACACAGCACCCTTACACACACACACACCACCCTCACAAACACACACACAGCACCCTTACACACAGCACCCTTACACACACACACTAACAGCACCCTTACACACAGTGCCCTCACACACACATCACCCTTATACACACACACACACTAACAGCATCCTCACACAAACACATCACCCTAACACACACACCACCCTAACACGCACACACCGCACCCTCACACACACACAGCACCCTTACACTCACACAGCGCCCTCACACACACACACAGCAGTGTGTGTGTGTGTATGTATATATATATATATACACACGGCGTGTGTGTTTGTGCTTTAGGGTGCACACCCTTATGCAATAGGCTGCGCACGCCTATGATGTCAACTGAGTATAGATATGATAGCAGGCAGCAAACATGAATAGTAAGGGTTACCCTCAGCCTTTTATTGAAAGATCTAGAAAAAAAACAATATACACAAAATATAGGTTGCGCCAATATAATGTCCAATTGCTGGAGTCTGTTCTCAACTGGTACAGTCCAGACCAGGGGCAGATTGACAACTTACTGGGCCTTCGGTCAATAGGAGATCAGGGGCCCCCTTCCTGGTGCAAGGTCTTTGTGCAGCTCTCACACAAATAATATGTGTGAGCTAGCCAGCATGGCTGTGTGAGTCCTGACGTCCCCCAAACAGTGCCAGATAAAATTTAAGGGGTTAATCCAACCAAAAACAGTGTTTTAATAAAACATTGCTTTTGAGTGGATTACCCCTTACTAGCTTGCCTTCCACCTCCTCCCCCATTACAACAAATAAATAAAGCAAATTTAATTACACCCTTCCTCTGTGTTTGTTGGTGACATCATAAGCAGCATCCCCCACATGTTCAACCATACAAGCAGCCTCCAAACACATGTATTTGGAGGCTACTTGTGTGGTTGCATAAGTGTGATGCTGCTTGTGTTCCTGTATGTCAAAATGTTGAATTATAATTAATTGTTTGTCTTGTTTTACCTATTGTACTACGCTGCAGAATATGTTGGTGCTATATTAGTAATTGTAATAATTGCATTTTTGTGTGTATAAGGAGGCTGTATGGCGTATTGCCATGCCTCTTGTGATGTGTGTGTAGGGAGGCTGCATGTGGTATTAAATGTGTGGGAATGCTGTTTGTGAAATTATGTGCATACAGTGAGGTTCCTTGTGGGTTTGTGTGTGTGGATGGAGCTGTTTGCAATGTCGTATGTGAGTGGAGAGTGCTGGTTGTGTTGCAGAGTGTGTGTGGATAGGGGCTGTTGTGTGTGTGTGGGATAGGTGCTATAGTAGGCATCTGGGGCTGTAGTGTGTGTTTGTATGGATACTAGAGGCTCTACTGTGTGGGGGAGATACATAGGCTGCAGTATGTGTGTGGATAGTGGCTGCAGTGCATGAAGGGGATATGGGCTGCAGTATGTGCAGAGGAAATAAGGACGGTGGGGAGATTGCGGCTGCAGTGGGAGCAGTGAGAGATAGGGGCTGTAGTGAGTGCAGGGAGGGATAGGGATGAGGTAGGTACAGGGAAAGAGAGAGGCGGAGGAGTGTGCAAGAAGGCACAGAGGCTGTGGTGAGTGGGTGATTAATAAAGGGGAGCACAGGGGTTGGGATGGGTAAAGGGGGCATAGGGGCTAGGATGGGTAAAGGGGGCAAAAAGGCTGGGGTGGGTGAAGGGGGCACATGATCTGGGATGGGTGAAGATGGCACATAGTCTGGGATGGGTAAAGGGGGCATAGGTGTTGTGATGGGTGAAGGGGCCACAAGGGCTGGGATGGGTAAAGGGGGCACAGGGGCTGGGATGGGTGAAGGGGGTACATGGTTTGGGATGGGTAAAGGGCACATAGGTGATGTGATGGGTGAAGGGGTCACTGGGGCTGGGATGGGTAAGTGGGGGCACAAGGGCTGGGATGGGTGAAGGGGGCACTGGGATGGGTGAAGGGGCACTGGGCCTGGGATGGATGATGGGGCACTGGGGCTGGGATGGTTGAAAGGGGGCACTGGGGCTGGAATGGGTGAAGGGGCTGGGATAGGAAAATGTGGGCATATAGTCTGGGATGGATAAAGGGGGCACAGGGGCTGGGATGGGTGAAGGGGGCACAAGGGCTGGGATGGGTAAAGGGGGCACACGTGCTGGGATGGGTGAAGGGGGCCACTGGGATAGGTGAAAGGGGGCACTGGGGCTGGGATGGATGAAGGGAGCACAAGGGCTGGGATGGATGAAGGGGGACACTGGGGCTGGGTGAAAGGACACAGGGGCTGGGATGGGTAAGGGGTGATATTAGCTTAAAAAATAATATTTACTTAACTGCCGTCTGCCAGGGTTCAGCAGATTCTCCAGGAGAGTGCAGGGCAGGAAGTGAGGTAAATTCCCCTCTTTTGGCTCTGTCTCTTTCCCTAACACGTAGCTCTGCATACGTTACATGGAGGAGACCTGTCAGGAGCAGCAGAATTCCTGCCAGGTCTCAGAAGGTGGGGGTGGAGGAGAGGCAGAGGGGGGAAACTTAGACAGCGATAATTTGCAGGAGCAACCTATCACTGGAATATGTGCAAATGCAATTATGTTTGTTTATGGCTGGGGAGATCTGTGATCTGATCTCCCCAGCCAGAGCATGTTTGTGCAACCTGCCAGGCCCCTGACTGCCTTGGGCCCTCGGTCCATGACCAATCTGCCCGAGTGGTCAGTCCGCCCCTGGTCCAGACTTCAAATGGTGGAACTATATGGAATAAAAGAAGAAAATAGCCAGTGATGTTGCAGAGCATATGAAACTAGGTGCTGGACACAAAACAATAATGTATAAGGTATATAATACTCATATTTGAAAGAGCTATTAGACTAGCTCTGAGTTTAACAGCATGCAGCGGTACAATCCCCACTAATGGAAATGTAGATCGGTGGGATGGCCCCTCATTGTATGGTGTGATATATAAAGTAAAAAATAGCAAGCAATATAGTTTATATAGAGAGATGTCAGCACAATCTCCCTATATAAACTCCTAAGTGCCTGACCCATACTATCTACACACAAGAAAGCCCCCCAGTTGGTGAAATACATTGTATTGTTTTAACCTTTGTTTTTAAATCATTAAAGTATAGTTTGCATTCACTACTAGTTTTGTCTATCTATGTATTACACTTTTTAAGCTTTTAGTTGCTTTTATTAATTTTTTATTTCCTTCTGTTCCTGGAACTAAAATACTTACCTAATAAGGAAACTTTGGATACTATTCCTTGAAGGATCTACCCAACATTATATTCTTGTTGGGGATTATACCATCCAATCGCTACCATTTGAGCAGGATCTACTGCTTCACTACATGTGAGTAGAATATTCTTACTTTTAAAATCATTATTACATGATTACAGAGAGCTCTATTGTTTGCCATTTTTATCAACATATATCAAACCATACATTGAGGGACCAGCCCTCAAATCAACATATCCATCAGTTGGGATGGTACTGCTGCATGCTGTTAAACTCAGAGCTAGTTTTATAGCTCTTTCAAATTTGAGTGATATGCCTTATACATTATTGTTGTATGTTCTGCACCTAGTTCCATACGCTCTGCACCATCACCATTTGTTTTCTGCTTTTATTCCATATACTCCCACCATTTGAAGTCTGGACGTTTACCAGTTGAAAACAGATTCGAGCAATTGTAAACTAATAAGACTTTATATTGGCGCAAACTATATTTTGTGTATAAAGTCTGGGATTATAACCCCTTTTAAAAAGATCTACTGTTTACAATTCCTTACTAAAAGGTAAAAAGGTTGTTTGTCCATGTCCATATCACATTTTGGTTACTAAGGATGAAGAGATTATTTGTTGTAAAATGTGTAGGAAGAATGGCTTTGCATGAAATAGAGTCTAACAAGAGATCGAAAAATATGAGACTTCAGCTGAGATATTGCAAATAAATAAAATAACTTGCAAAGTACAACAAAAGTGGGGAAATGGTGGCGCTAACTTAACTATTAAAATGAACGTATCTATGTAGCTGCTGTTTACACTCTGTGGGTACTCCCAATACCGCAATAAACAAAAATAGTCACCAAGAAACAAAAAACTCTCTGAGTGGTATTTCTACCCTTCAGGCTGTTAGTTTGAGTGCAGCGCTGTATTTATATGTGAGACAAATGTTTCTCTATGGGGTGTATAAAGATACACTTACCCTCTATATAGCACTTTAAGATGAGTACATAGAAAAAACAGAAAGACAAGATACAAATAATAGTGCAATATTGTATGTTATATCAAAATTGATTTGTGGGTTATAAATATGAATAAACTCACATATTTTAGAGCCTTTTACAGATCTAAGGCTCTAAACTTTCAGGTGTCTGTATCTTTAAGGTAGATCATACAACCTTCTTTTAGTTGCACAATAGGTATGTTCCTCTCCATGTCATATACAGTGAATAGATGCAGAGAAAGAGTGATAATCTAAGTGCAGTATCTTCAATAATTAATATGAACAGGAATAAGGCATAGAATAAGGCATAGAAATGCTCACCTTGAAGAGAGCCTTTTGGAAACTGGCTCTAAGTGTATAGGCCTAGTGTCAATTTCTGGGGTGACACTCCCCTGACCGGAATCACAGGGCAGGATGTAGTAGAAAGTTTAAAAAAATGTATTACAAAGTATTGTTAAAAATAGCTATCTTACTAGGAAAAAATAAAGAAATATATAATAACAATATATAGTAAAAACAAGTATAAATTATAGATGGTCAAAACGATGAACCACTTGTTGTCGAGACGCGTTTTGCCATAAAAACGGCTTCCGCAGTCAGCTGCAGCTTACTTGTGTTCACTCCACTCTTTTGTATTCTCATTTTCCCGCCTAAAGTTCAATTGTCCAATCCGTGGTTTCTTGTAGTTCTTCTGGCGCTCGTGAATAGCGAGACGTCATTTCCGGTTTTCGGAAGAAATACAAGTCCCTTGGTGCTTTGTGAATTCCTTGTCCTATTATTTCCGGTTTCTTTGTGAATCAGAAGGATATCGACGTTGTTGTAATATTATTCTAATATAGTCTGTATTTGAGTCTATGTTAGACTCAGAACATAAAACATAAAAGAGACAAACATGTGCATAAATACTCAAAATACATGTATAATGGGGACAAATATTGTACATCAATGTAATCAATTTCCGTTACCACATTACACCGAATGGTGGTGAAAAAGTCTGTAGGGATAGTTGTAAAGTACCTTGTTTAGACTCATATATTAAATCACATATGGAGAACATATTATATCTATATAGTTCTTTTGAAATAACGTTTTTATGGGATTTCTTTTGGAATGGCTGGTTCTACTAGATTGTATAGTAAAAGGTATATATTTATCATATCAGCCCAAGGGATTGGAGATTTTCATTTTAATCTTATAGGGTATGATGTGATAATTAGATCTCTCATCTAGTTCTGACTAATTTCCAGATGGAACTGACTACAACAAATAAACACATTTCTTTGTAGAAAATATGCCCCACGAGGGAACAATCTAATAGAACCAGCCATTCCAAAAGAAATCCCATAAAAACGTTATTTCAGAAGAACCATATAAATATAATAAGTTCTCCATATGTGACTCCATATGTGACAATGACACAAGAGATTAGTATTAGACTAATGACAGTTGCAAGAGAAAGTCGGCAGCTATTAACAGTTCAATTGATACACTTTTATGAAGAAGTGGGTTTTTAATGATTTTTTGAAGGAGTGGAGGCTGGGTGAGCATCTAACGGAGGAGGGAAGTGAGTTCCACAGGAACGGTGAAGCCCTTGAGATGTCTTGAAGGCGAGCATCAGAGGTGGGAGTATGGACAGAAGATAGACGTAAGTCTTCAGCAGAGTATAAGGGCCTAGACAGGACATACTTGTGTATTAGTGGGGATAGATAGGTGGGAGCAGCGTTGTGTAGAAATTTGAAAGCAAGAATCAGAATTTTAAATTGAACCCTATATCTTACAGGAAGTCAATGTAACAGAAGGGTAAGGCGAGGGCGGTGCGGGCGGACAGGAAGACGAGCCTCGCCGCTGCATTCATTATGGACTGTAATGGAGCAAGTTGGGAGCAAGTAAGACCACTGAAGATATACTGAAGATATTTAGCTATTGTTTAAACTTTTTGTAGAATGTCACAACATATTTGCACATCCCTAGTTATTCCATTTATCTCCTCCACTATAAAATATTTTCACATTTCTAGTTTTAAATTAGGGAAAAATTTAAAACTTTCAAACGCACAGTGAACAGTATACTCTTTATCATCTCCATTGTGAGGGAATGTTATTGTAGTTGGATTTTTATGCATTGAGACTTAATGATAGGAAATCCAAAAAGGCCCAAGACATTGTACTACCTTCTTCCCTACTTTATATTTTTATTTATTCCTTTTCAAATGTTTATTGTTTTGAAGAATAATAATAAAAATAACAATTGTACATTTTTTGTCAACGTTTTAAGGATCCTTGTTGTGGTTACCTTATCAATACTATAAGTAACAACACAAAGATCATAAATCCCTACTCTATATTTAAGTGGAAAGTACGCAGGTATCCATAAAATGCTGATTCAAGGTATGGAAGATTTACCATACCAATCATGGTGTCTTTCCCACACTTAGCAGCTTCAATGTACTTTATGTAAAAAGAATCTTCAAGGTACTTCATGTAAAAATGAAAACACTATAAACCAATGCAAAGGCATTGTGGGGATTAATAGATCTCCAAGTTACAATAAATTATGGGTTTTTTTTGTATTTTTTAGCATGCTTGGAGTATATTCTTGTATATGGTATACATTCAAACGGTTGCATTTGTAATACTGCAGTCGTCTTTTTAGAAATGCTGAAAATTCGATGGATTTAAAGAACTTGGTGTGAGTTCCAAAAGTGGTAACATTCAAAATATAAGGCATTTGCACTGAATAAGGACTAATTTCTGTTTCAGCACAAACTAATTAAAACTACTGTTAACTCTGTGCACAGCATGTTTGAGATCCATTTTTGTATGGAAAGAATATATTTGTGTTACAAAATATTGTTAGAAACGTAAATAGCCAATAAAAGCTCTTATGTTTTGATCCTTTAGTTGCTAGGCATTTCAGGTTATCGGGAAAACAATGACTCATTAATAATCACTATTTATCTGTGCTCCTTCTTTACTTTCAAGTTTCTTTAAATACAAAGAAAAAAAAACATTTGATTTTTACTCAAACTAAGTCAAACATAAGTTGTTCATTTGTTATGGTTGTCTTATTCTATGTCTTTGACTCATTTTCACCTCCTAGAATTTTCTTGTGAAAGTAAACTTTAACCATCCGCCATAAAGCAAACATCCTGGGTCATACTCCTCTATACAGAGATAAAGCTCCAGTTAATCTCCATCAAAGTCCACCCACCCTACCCCTAACGTGATGTAACAGGGACCTTTCATAAACATTCTCTATAAAAAGAGTCAAGCAGGATACAGGACAGCTGCACCTGCCCTATATACCCCTCAGTTCAGTACTTGGTGACTGAACATCAGGCAAAAATGGGAACTTGGAGGGGCACATGGATACCAATATGTTCCATTGTACTGCTTGCCTGCTTTCATGCACAAGGTAAGCATCCGTTAATCAAGTGAAGACTCAAATGCTCCAATGGAAGAAAAATAATGTGATGGAGATTAGATAGATAGATATATAGATAGAATTGCTGCAAACTGAAGGTTTGCGTCAATACAGAAAATAATATATTTACAAAAGATGAAGGAAAACCATGATAAAATTGTATATATTTTTTACTTTCATTTAAGGTGTACCAATTTATATAACTTAGAATGAACATAATAATAAAATATAATTTTAGTTATTATAGGGTTAACATAAACCTTATAGTAGATTTAGTATATAAATAATATTTCATGGTTAATCTGCTTTATTATAGTTGTGGGTATTAAATTGCAGACGCATTAACAATCCATAAAACAAGATTGCATATTCCTCAATTATAATGTTTAACCATGATAACTACATGAATTACATGAATGGATAGTAACATGCCCGCACTTTCATTAGAGTAGTAATAGAATAGTATATCTTATTTAGAGTAGTATATTTTTATGTACTTTATCTATTTTTTTATTAAATAATTGATCTTGCCAACTGCTAGTCAGGTAGAGATAGCATCATCCCCAATCAGAAGTTGGCTGGTTCTAGATTGTTATAAATGCAACTCAACAGCTTCTGGAAGGACCACAATCCATAACAACAAAATAATATACTGTGTTTAAATACAAAACTACCACTCTCAATCTATTCATGTAGACAGGTGCTTAGTTATCATAATGCCATGAATAAAACATTTTTGGGGTTTAACATTGTATAGGGTCACTAGAAAGACACAGTATAAGAGCATCCATTCCTTTCCAGATGATAGACAACTATTTAGCAAATGCTGTAACAGCAAACACTGTTCACAGTCCAGAACATAAATAAGTGAATTATAAACAAATCATATTTCTTAATTCTTCCTTTCTCCTTTTTTTTTTTTTTCTTAAAAAGGTTCAATCGTCCTTCAAAGTTCAGTGCAGCAGACATCTGGTAAGTGATCTGTTTACATTACACCAATGTAAATTTTACACGCTTAATATATATCAATGATGAAGTGATTAATTTCTTATTTTCCAATTGTCACTATTAATAATAACAGAAGTACAATAAATAGATAAATACAAATGCAAAAAAAAAAATACATTGGAATTGGATTACAAATACAGGAGATTAAAAAAGAGTTATATGCTGTAGTTGGTTAGAGACTTGGAGATTCATTAAGTTACGAGCTACAATTATCGGAATTTGAGACAATCTGGTGATTGGCTGAATTCCAAAACTCTAAGCCAAAATGTAGCCAAATAACAAACCAAGCTAAATGTGCAATGGCCGAACATTACATTTTTGCAGAACACCGATTGTCCTATTTCTGCAGCCTTTTGGCTTGTCTGTTTAATTTTCTCTAATGTTTCTTCATTAATGGAATTTGACTTAGCCGAACTGCCGTATGACTGAGAAATATTTAATCAGAGGTGATTCGTCCAAAATTAATTTTTGCACAAAGATAGTGGCAAAATGTACTTAATAAATAGCTAAACAATTTGTGATTTCTTTTTATTTTTTTACGATTGCAAAACAAAATAAATGCTATACAAAATGTGCACACGTAAGTAAAATATGTTTGCAAAACAACTGAAATATGTTCATTTAAAAGGGAATTAAGAGAATAAACCTAGAACTATCTTGCAAAATTGGAAAGTTAGGCTTAATGTGAAAGGAATGACAGTATCTCCAATGTCATTATTTCCTTATAGATGTTTAATTCCGTGCTGTATGGGATAGGCATAAGGCTATCCTAACTATAAAATAAGGCCAGGGACTAATGAAAGTATTTAGAAAATTGGGCAGACTAGATGGGCCGAATGGTTCTCATCTGCCGTCACATTCTATGTTTCTATGTTTCTGTAGTAATGTAGAAATTGTAGATAAGAAAAAATGCTGTGCTCACCTCTATAAAAGTCCCCCAATCGATTACAATTGCTTTGTTTGATAAGACAATCCAAGATCTGGTGTATGCACTATGGTAGGCACTTCATAAACTCAAGCAACAAACGAAAAGCACCAACTCTCCAGGACTTAAAATAGTACAGTATAAAACCTAGCTTTTATTAGTAGATACTGTTTAAAAGCACATTGTAAGTAAGAGATATGGGTCACAAAATCATTACCATTAAGAACACTGTACTGTGCATAATCTACATGAAAAGCATATTGTGATCCACCCCAAGCATGCTACATCTTAGAGCTTATGCATAGGTATTCATGTAATCAGCTTCTTAAGTAGAAATAGCTTAATTATCAATCAAAGTTAACTCCTCGTGTTCCCATGGGTAACACAGGGCATCCTATTTCATGCTCATCCATCACATGAATCTGACAATATCTACACTTTTTCTACACAAGAAAAAATAATTCAAAGAACGTAATGTACACGTGAGAAAATGTGAGAAAAGACAATTACCGATTTTAATTATAACCAAAGCTGCCTGCATGCATCATAGCCATCACATAAAAGGCAGAACAGAGTCAAATAAATCTACAATATTCTCACAAAAACATAGTTAACTTTACACAAAGCAGGTAACATCATATATAAAGTTTAAACCTATGCAAGCTCTTGTTTGCGAGTAGAAAATCCATGAGGTCTCAATTAATTTGAAAGGTTTCTGTCACCACCCCTAATACCGCCTTTACTCTTTGTATGCCTTGTATCTACAAATACTTTCCATTGGCCCTATTACATAGTCTAAAGCAGGGGTCCTCAAACTCCGCCCCCCCCAGATGTTGCTGAACTACAACTCCCATGATTCTCTGGCTACCTATGTAATTCAAAAAATCATGGGAGTTGTAATTCAGCAACATCTGGGCGGCCGGAGTTTGAGGACCCCTGGTCTAAAGTGCCTCACACCGGAGGCGAATTTGGATTGTTAACATCAATGATAGAATTTATGTGCTCTCTCATTCGGTCTTTAAGGAGACAAAATGATCTCCCACAGAAATATATCCGTAGGTCATGCATGGTTTGGTTTCACATCTAGATGTTGTTTTTTCTTACTAAACCAAGTTTGATTTTGTTTTGCTGCTAAATAATGAAGGAACTCATAAAGTGCCAATAATACACTAGTTATAAGTAGTTATATTCACTAAACAGTGCTCTGACAGTTGACATGCAAAAGTTAGGTTATGGTAGATACGTTGAAAAAGCTATTCCCAATATGGCTCTTTTTCCTGAATTTAGCAAGTTAGTTGGCAACACACCATATCACACTGTTAAGTAAATATATAACTAGAGAGTTCTGTATTTTTTTTTCAAAACAATTAGACATAATTTAAAAAAGTATAAACTATCCACTATTGAGTTACAGCCTCTTTCTTACCAGTATTAATTTTGTGGTGTCTACATTCACTTATCTTCATAGAAGAATGGGTGTGTGTGCACTTAACAAGTTAATATTTACCTTATAGTTTGTCAAACACTACATATTGATAGGTACTTAGTTCTCAAAACAATTGGCAGACAGGACTGTAATGCAAAGGCCAGTTCATGTATTTAAATGTATCTGTCCAAATGATGTGTATTACATTTCGAAAATAAACTGAATGTCATGTTGAGAGAAGTGTTTAGATAAATGGGAAACATTTTTAGTAACATTAAACAAAACATATAAAAACATAACCTATATATAAAATAAAAATCACAATAAAAAATTAAAGGTAATCATTACCTTGTGTTTTATTTATGTACTTATTTAATTTCTACAGACGTGCAATCTCCATTGGTGAACTTCATCGGAACAACTGTGGCTCCCATTGTTAGAAGTAAGTATCCGAATTGTTGTATTGTAGGAATGATATCTGGATTAATCTTGAAAGGTTTCTAAAAGCAAATCACTAAATGGTATCAGATAACTTTTTACTGTGGTTACGGCCCTGCCATGTTGTTCTCATCAGCTGAGATGATAGAACTTTTCTATGGCTAAAAACACATGAAAATATTTTCTTCCTACACAAAAATACTTTTCCTTTTTGCAGTCTATCTACATATCCAAATATGAACTAGGCAACTAAATGGGGGGATGGACCCCCATTTAGTTAGTTTTATTTAGATAATGCATTAAAATAATGCAAAATAATTAAATAAATTAAAGAGAAGAAATAAAGAAATAATAATTAAAAACAAATACTTTTCATCAAAGTTCTATGTAAATGCACAGTCCAGAGTGTTCTTCTGTAGTTACAAGTAGATCTTCATGAGGGAGAGAAATTCCAATCAGGGGTGTATCATTCAGACCTATGGGGGTCTGTTTATATGTAATATATACCTGTCCATCGGAGGTTAATTGGATGAGTATGTATGTCCCAAGAGCAGTTCTATTTAGGGCATATGATTAGTGGAACAGCTCTATAAACTGATTGCAGCCGTATCATGGTTGCTCTTTGGGAAAGAGAGAGTGTTCACCCCAAATCGTAGGCAGAGTCCACATACAACTTGGATAAAACAGATATTAGACAGCCAGAACTTGGTATTCCAGAGTTTTATGACTGACAGCCGCAAAGCGCTATATTAAAGCTGCAGCACTTTTTTTTTTTTTTTTTTACAAATTGCTGCAGTTCTACAGCTGTGAATGCATGATGGTACTGGTTGTGATGCCTAGATCAACCCCTTCAAGCTCATATACAATGTTACAATTCTGTATCAGATTAAAATTCGCCAGATTTGTCCCACTAAATATAAGATTGTTGAATGATATGTAGTCAACCTGGAAGTGCAACTCATTCATGATGACAACATTCATAATGAAAACATAAACATTTAAAAAAGGAAAAGATTAGAGAAAAAAAAAATGAAAGAATGTTGTCTTAACTAAAAATGTGTCTGTTCCACTTAATATTACATTATAGGATTTTTTTTCTCTTACCCTATGTCTTCTTCTTATGATATTGTGATGTACACATTGGACACTTGAATAAAGTTAGAACTGAAAAAAAAAAAGAAAAGATTACCTTAGGGTACCTATAATATATATATACACCTTATAACCATACCTTATAACCTGTAACCTATAAACAATACTTCATACTTAAAACCTGTAACTCATTGACTTATAGATAGTGTATCTATTCACAATGGACAAGTCTGCAGTTCCTGGGGTAATTACAACTTCAAGACATTTGATGGGGACCTATTTCATTTCCCTGGAACCTGCAATTATTTGTTTGCATCCAACTGCAAAAGCAACTACGAAGACTTCAACATTCAAATCAGGCGTTCCATTGTGAAAACACTGCCCACCATCAGCAACATTGAAATGAAGATCGATGGCGTTTACATTGAATTGAAGAATAACAGTATAACATTCAATGGTGACCCGTGAGTCATTCTTCATTTTTCTTTGACTAAAACTAAATGCACGTAGTTTGTGTTAACTGCATACTCACATATAATCGTTTTTTTAGTTACTTGCTGCTTTCACAATATCAAGAAAAAAATACCAACATAAACTATTATATAAATGTCTAAGTAATGATTATTCCGTACAAAAATTCTTAAAGTGAACTGCCAAAGCATTTTAAATATTGTACACTTGTAGTGACACTGAATTTAAATAAGAACAAAAGCTAGTGTAGGTATGGATATGGTACATTTTGGACCAGTGAAAATCATTGATACTCTCCATTGATAGCATCTGTCCACTTTCATCAAACAAGAATAAAACATTAACAAGGTAATTCACGAAATGAGCATTCATGTGAATGTCAAATTGAATGTCAAAATAGTCAAACCTGAATTGTATATTTAGTGAATAACCCTGCAAACATTCTGTTCATCTGACTATATAAATATCACACATAGAAAAACTCCAATTGAAGAAAGGGCTGGGTCACTGTAATCCAATTGGAATTGTATATTCATAAAAAGTAATTATTATAGTGAAATATAGTACTATAGGTATTACATGGATTTCAAGATCAGAGACAACATTGGTTTACTTCAGGGAGATCATGCCAAACTAATCTTATTGATTTTTTTTGATTGGGTAACTAAAATTATAGATCAAGGTGGTGCGGTAGACATTGCTTACCTAGATTTCAGTAAGGATTTTGACACTGTTGCACATAGAAGGCTTATCAATAAACTGCAATCTTTAAGTTTGGATTCCAATATTGTTGAATGGGTAAGGCAGTGGCTGAGTGACAGGCAACAGAGAGTTGTAGTCAATGGAGTATATTCGAAGCATGGGCTTGTCACCAGTGGGGTACCTCAGGGATCTGTACTTGGACCCATTCTCTTTAATATTTTTATTAGTGATATTGCAGAAGGTCTTGATGGTAAGATATGTCATTTTGCTAATGATACTAAGATATGTAACAGGGTTGATGTTCCAGGAGGGATAAGCCAAATGGCAAATGATTTAGGTAAACTAGAAAAATGGTCAGAGTTGTGGCAACTGACATTTAATGTGGATAAGTTCAAGATAATGCATCTTGGACGTAAAAACCCAAGGGCAGAGTACAGAATATTTGATAGGGTCCTAACCTCAACATCCGAGGAAAGGGATTTAGGGGTGATTATTTCTGATGACTTAAACATAGGTCGACAATGTAATAGAGCAGCAGGAAATGCTAGCAGAATGCGTGGTTGTACAGTGAGAGGTATTAGCAGTAGAAAGAGGGAAGTGCTCATGCCATTGTACAGAACACTTGTAAGACCTCACTTGGAGTATTGTATGCAGTACTGGAGACTGTATCTCCAGAAGGATATTGATACATTGAAGAGAGATCACAGAAGGGCTACTAAACTGGTTCATGGATTGCAGGATAAAACTTACAAGGAAAGGTTAAAAAGTTAAAGGAACTTAACATGTATAGCTTGGAGGAAAGACGAGACAGGGGGGATATGATAGAAACATTTAAATACATAAAGGGAATCAACACAGTAAAGGAGGAGACTATAAAGTTTACAAGAAGAAAAAATACCACAACAAGAGGACATAGTCTTAAATTGGAGGGGCAAAAGTATAAAATTAACATCAGGAAGTATTACTTTACTGAGAGGGTAGTGGATGCATGGAATAGCCTTCCAGCTGAAGTGGTAGAGGTTAACACAGTAAAGGAGTTTAAGCATGTGTGGGATAGACATAAGGCTATCCTAACTATAAATTAAGGCCAGCGACTAATGAAAGTATTTAAAAAATTGGGCAGACTAGATGAGCCGAATGATTCTTATATTGCGTCACACAGGAAAGCGTTTAAATGTTTAGCATTGTAATTATGCAATAAAGTGTGTTTTTCTGCAATATCTTTCGGTCCCTTTATTACAGGCCTACCCGTAAGTTGGTTTCCGCACACCACTATGAACCTTCCCCTCTATTCTCTATTTCCATATACGAATTAAGTTCTGACCACAAGTAAAAGGCCATAGGCCTGAATTTGTGGGAGGATATTTCTCTATATAAATTTTACCCCCCTGCTTACTTATACCGTTTCCTGTTTGAGTGACTCCACCCACCACTCCCTCTAATACCTTACTATCACTATTACATTATCTCTGGTGGACCCTCTTTAATACAGGCCTACCCGTACGTTGGTTTTGGCACACCACTACCAACCTTACCGCCTTTTCTCTATTTCCATATACGAATTAAGTTCTGACCACAAATATATATACTTACTTCTTTTTATTGCTGAATGTATATTCTTTTCTGTAAATCCGTTATAATAAAATACATTAACCATCCTGGCATAATATTGTCTTCCTGTAGAGTGCAAATTCCATACAGTTTCTCGGGAATACAGATTGATAGAAGTGGGTTATACATCAGAATTCTGTCCAAGTTGGGTTTGAATTTCATGTGGAACGAAGACGATGCCATCCTGGTAAGCTCAACTGATTATATAACCATCTCTATATACTTAAATTGATGATCCATTTTAATTATTGCTTGCCTTAAATTGTCTTTATAAAACATTTTGTTCTTTTATTTAAAACGTAGTTGGAACTGGATTCAAAGTTTGCAAACGAAACCTGCGGTCTTTGTGGAGACTACAATGGGATTCCAGTATACAACGAGTTTATAATAAACAGTAAGAGGCTCTCTCTTTTCTGGATATTGCAAAGAGTAATGTAAAAAAAATAATAGTAATAAAAAAAAATGTAAACTAAAAAAATGTAAACTCACAGTAACATAACCTCTTTCAGATGTGCAGGTCAGTGAGATTCAGTTTGGAAATATGCAGAAGTACAATGGACCTACAGAATTGTGTCCCGATTTGTTAACCGCTCCTCGCAACAACTGTACTGACAATGTAAGTATAGCATTGTTTCACCATAGGACTGCACAACTGCTGACTTCAAATAAATATAAAAATGTATAGTTCTTACTATGGCCCCGATTTAATATTGTTGCATACGTTTTCCAAATGAGTTAATATTATTGTTTAAACTTTTAAAATTATTTTTCAATGTACTAAATTATCACTTACAAATCATATATAAAACATATAGAAAATCAAATTATAACAAAACTAAAATATTTTTCAAAATAATAAGCCATTTTAAAAGGGAATCCAAAAATAATAATTTATTTGAAAAACGTATTCAACAACATTAAATCAACCATATATGCATTACATTTTAAATTCTATGCCTGACATAAATCTTAAATAAGAACCGGTCCTCCAAATATCTTTTTTTTTTCTTTTTTTTTAAATGTCCAGGAATTTTACTTCCTTCTCTCTCATTGTCTTCTCAACAAGACTTTGTGACCGTTTTCCCCATAATATTCAGACATATATGTTGGTGTAGTTTATATTACGTAGGTAAGAAATACACATTTGTATTCTTAACACAGTTGTTGTCTTTATCTCAACAGAGAAGAATGTGTGAAGTTATTTTGACTGGCTCAGCATTTTCAGCTTGTAATGTCCTTGTGAATCCCACTGAGTATATTGATAGCTGCGTCCAGGACCTATGCAGATGTCAAGGAGATGGACTTGGATTCTGTCTTTGTAACACCTTTGCAGAATACTCCCGTCAGTGTACCCATGCAGGGGGAACTCCAGAAAACTGGAGAAGTGCTTCACTGTGCCGTGAGTATTACCAGACAATCCACCAGTGATCAATGGGCACAGAAAGCAGTATTCTGAAATATAATCCATATATTTAAAATAAAATAAAAAATAATGAATGTTTGGTTAAGATAGACTTTGCTGAATTCATAAATTAAGGTAAATTAAGGATAGATAGATAGATAGGTAGATAGATGGGTAGATAGATAGATATATAGATAGATAGTTAGATACTGGGTAGATAGATAGATAGATAGATAGATACTGGGTAGCTATATATATATATAGATAGATAGATAGATAGATACTATGTAGCTAGATAGATAGATAGATACTGGGTAGATAGATAGATAGATAGATACTGGGTAGATAGATAGCTAGATACTGGGTAGATAGATAGATAGATAGATAGATAGATAGATAGATAGATAGATAGATAGATAGATAAATGGGTAGATAGATGGGTAGATAGATGGATGTGTAGATAGATAGATGGGTGTATAGATTATAGATAGATAGATATATAGATAGATATATACTGGGTAGATAGATATATACTGGGTAGATAGATAGATAGATAGATAGATAGATAGAGAATGGGTAGATAGATCGATGGATGGGTAGATAGATGGGTGGATAGATTATAGATAGATAGATAGATAGATAGATATGTAGATGGATGGGTAGATAGGTAGATAATGCATATCTTAGGAAATATATAGAGAGAGTTGATAGAAAGATATAGGGAGATAGTTATTGCAGATAGATTGTATAGAAAACTATATCTATTTCTCTGTATATTTTCCTACATCATCATTAGCATGATATATTATTATTATTGACATTTATATACTGTCAACGTAATCTACAGTGTTTTCTATTCTGTCTATCTATTTCTTTCTGTATTTCTCTAGTACTGCTCCATACTACGCCTAAATATTTCAACACCCCGCCTTATATTTTCAGTGTTTTTGTCATGAAACATAATGCAAAACTGAATTATTTTCTTCTGATATGTTTCAGCCGTAACATGTGCTAAAAACATGGAGTACAGAGAATGTGGAAGCCCTTGTACAGACACCTGCACCCACCAACAGAGGTCATCAGTCTGTGATGACCATTGCATCGATGGATGCTTCTGTCCTGCAGGTAAACATGGAACAGTTAAATACACAAAGAACAAAATAATTAGAACTGTGGTAAATGTATTCTGCCCTTTGACACAAATAATCTAGGTTTAGTGACATCAACTTCCAAATTCCAACAATTATCTTAGTTAAGCAGCAACAAGCACTCAAGATGTTCCTGAGCTAAGCTTCGATCATTTTTTCAGCCAGCTTTAAGGTTTGCAGAGTATAATGTGATATATATATTATGTTGCAAAGATTAGCCATCCCTGCACTACTTTAAACAGAAGTACTACCACTCATAAATATCTGAATACATTAACATGCTAAAAGTAACATACATTATTACATTAATGTTTAAGGAACGGTCTATGATGACATCAACAACTCCGGCTGCATTCCAGTCCTGCAGTGCTCATGTGTATTTAATGGGGAAACCTATGAATCAGGAACAGGATATTCTGCTCAGTGTCAATCTTGGTAAATCTTATGTACTTATTGAATGTGTAAAATTATATTTATGTAGCACTCCAAATCTACTTTGATGTTTGTGTAGCACCCAAAAAACCTTTCAACTGTAGAAAGAAGATATGACCCCGTATAAAACTTGTCATCTAATCCAAATGTTGATAAAACAGGTACTTGTCAAGATTTGACCATGGAAATACAAGAGTTTAACCAAAAAAAGCCAAATTGCAAACATTATCTAACACCAACAAAGTTTTTTTTTTGCCTTGACTAACTTATTGACCAATCATTCCAACCATATATGGTTGTACTATTTATAATGGACAACATGGTTTCCTGACTAGGTCTGTCTATTCTTTTACAATTCATATACTGGCTTACATCCTATCAATAGAATAAAAAAATATAACATTTGGACTAACATTAGCATTAGTCTAGCTATGTGTTAAGTATTCTTGTTATCCCTGTAGTACATGTTCTGGAGGTATCTGGAAATGCTCAGAAGAAGCTTGCTTGGGATTGTGTTCAATCGAAGGAGGATCTCATATCACCTCGTTTGATTCTACATCGTATAACTTCCATGGAGACTGCAGCTATGTAATAACAAAGGTAAACAAAGAAAACTTAATTTGCTAAATGCTTTCATTAAAAAAAACAAAAAACTGTAATACATTTGCATGCATGTTCTTTTAATGTTCTCCAGGGATATTTAGATATCCATGATCACCCTTTGACTGAGATGAAAACTCCTAACATTTTATTCAGAAGTAGGAAGCACAGCAGAACCTGTAATTTTGCATTTGTTATTCTTAAATTCTTAAATTAAATTCTTAAATTAGAATGCAATAATCTAAAGCACCTTTTTTTTAATTAGTTCATTATAAGAATTCATTTCTGCTTTGGGAACAAATAGTACTAGAGAAATATAGGAGGTGATTGTTGAATTCATATGTGCACACTTAAGCACGATGGTGGTTGCTTTATAGAACACACTGGGCACTACTACAACTTGTTTGTTTTATATTCTTTGGTCACATATTTGTGCTGTATTTTTCTCCACATTCAAATTTATTTAGCTTTTTTTTGTAATAGAAGTTTATTGAGTTTTTAATATAAGTTAAAAAAGCGCCCGCCATGACGGAGCCTGAAGTCGCTGTTTACCGACTGAAATGAACTGAAAATACCTATACGCCACGCCAATGCCAACAACAACTGAGCAGTACATGAAGGGTGAAAAAAAGGAAAAGAACCGTCTAAAAAAATTGTGGCGTCGAACGCAGTATAAAGGAGGGACGCGCAACCAAGATAAGAGTATAACCCTCGGGTCCGATTAGAGCCGATAGACAACTAAGGCCCGAACATCTGAACCCATCTCAAATAAAAACAAGGTATAATAAAGGAAACAAATCCAGAGTTGGAGATGGACAAAAACCCAACGAAAACCGGCAATTGAAGGATGACAAAAAGCAGAGCGAGGCACACCGAAAGTAGTCGTACGTGCTACCTAATCTAAATGATACGACAGTGTGGGGGCTCCAAAGGGCTCAGATCCCTTAATACCAAGCACCACCAGCGGACCAAATTGATTAAGATAGGGTCGCCTGCAATCCCCAGATTCAGGGTCCCTTCTGGTATGTCATCCGAAGGTGGAGGCAAATGTGAAATTCCGGGGCCAAGGGTCCAATCCCCTATAACAGGTACGGGTTGGAGCTTTAGATATGTCTCCGTAAAGTTTTTTCATATAAAAACTGGACACCTAACATACCTTGTATGTCACGCTAGCACAGCTCACTCGTGTAGAGGAGAACAATCGGCTTGCCAGTGTGGACTTAAAAGTAGAGTATAGGCACTGCAGCGGGTCGTACTCAGGATCTCCTGTATACTAGACAGGCATCTGTGTATAAACAGGCTGTGGTAGGGTTTTTTTTTTACTTCTGCACCACCTAGTCAGTGTAGTCTGGTCGTCAAGGCTGATCGTATCGGGGCTAGACGCTTCTCCGGAGTCTATCTTTCTGGGTGCTTGATTCAGGGCCTTCACCTTTCCAGTAGCGCTTATGAGCACTTTACTGGCCTCACCAGGAGAGTCTGACTCATTAAAGTCGCCTGCCTTCTTTAGAAGGTGGTCGCTGCCGTATTAGACATCACCTGTGCTCATTCCCCCAGATAAAGGGTTCTCCTGTGGAACGGTCCTAGGCAAAGTGACCTCTAAGGGTATAACGGACAAATGTCACCGGCAGAAGCATCGGGGCAGCACCCCATATAGTGACAGAGGCAAGTTTGGCAGCGCATGCAATGCCCAAGCGTGAGTATGTAGCAGCAAGGCTTGGCATGCAGACATTCTGGCACAGACAACGCAGGCCAGATCAATGGGACACAGACAAAGCAGGCCAATCAATGGGGCACAGACAAAGCAGGCCAATCAATCAGGCTCAGACAAAGCCGGCCAAATCCTGGGGCACAGACAAGTCAGGCCCTTCAGTGATGCACAGGCGATAAACTGCACATTCCATTCTTCTGATTAATTGTACATTTCACTCTTCGGATAAAATGTACCTAACACTTCTTCAGATTAATGGCACATAACACTCTTCTGGGTAACTGTTATTAACACTTTTCTGTGTAACTGTACACAACGCTCATCTGTGTAACTGTACATAAAGCTCTTCAGTGTAACTGTAGATAACATTCTTCTGTGTAACTGTACCCAACGCTCTTCTGTGTAACCGTACATAACGCTCTTCTGCATAACTGTACATAGCATTTTTCTGTGGGACTGTCCATGACGTTCTTCAGTGTAACTGTACATAGCATTCTTCTGTTTAACTGTACATAGCATTCTTCTGTGTAACTATACATAACATTCTTCTGTGTAGCTGTACATAACCTTCTTTTGTGTAACTGTACATAACATTATTTTGTGTAATTGTACATAGCACTCTTCTGTGTAACTGTACATAGCATTTTACTGTTTAACTGTACATAACAGTCTTCTGTGTAACTGTACATAGCATACTGTGTAACTGTAGATAACGCTCTTTAGATAAATAGTGCCTAACACTCTTCTGTGAACTGTAGCTAACCCTGAAGGCAGTGTGAGACACCATAATCAACCCTTGCAGCATATGTGTATAAACAGGCAACCCATAGCATCCAGCTACAGAAGGTCACCAGGGAACAGAGAGTGGACAAGGAAAATCATAATAAAGCAAAAAACAATAGTGCTAGTGTAAACTACAATAGAGAATCAAAGTTTGACAAGGAGCCATTCTAATACATCATGAAGGCTCACAGTGTAAACTGTAACCTGCCTCCCCACCGGCGCCTGGACGGAGGGGCCCTGTGGTGTGGGGAGGCCAAATGAGGTCGGGAGTCGTCGCTCCCACATGGCCGGGAGCCATCGCTCCCACGTGGCCGGGAGCCGTCGCTCCCACGTGGCCGGGAGCCGTCGCTCCCACGTGGCCAGGAGCCGTCGCTCCCACGTGGCAGTCATTCCTCCCACGCTACTCGCAGTCGCGAAAGCTAAACGGCTTCCCAGGGGTTCGGGGAGCATGGGAGGGAGACAGGCAGACGGGCAGTTCCTGAGCACCGTAAGAGCGGCACGCAAGATACCCACATGGGACCGCCGAAAGAGAAAGAAGACAGAAAGAAAGTAGAATGACATGCAAGGGAGAGTAGGGAAAGCAGAGGGAAAAAGGCACCCTTACAGACCCCACAGAAAGGGGGGAGGTAGACAGAGCAGGCAAGAAGAAGACACCTGTATAAGGCACAATACATGACCTCACATCATAAAATCAAATCCTAAAATCTAATCACAGAATCAAATCCTAAAATCAAATCCTAAAATCTAATCATAGAATCTAATCCTAAAATCAAATCATAAAATCTAATCATAAAATCAAATACAAGTAAAAAGTATATCCCACAACCACCCATATATAACATGAGGCAGTGGTGCTCTGACCTATACTGACTGCGGAGCAGCAAAGAAAGAGGAAATAGTTGCTTGGGAGGAGCCTTTTATGGATTCCTGACTTTTTTGTCTCTGGTGTTATTCTCTCTATGTTAATGTGCTGCTGTGGAGTTCTAGTAAAGAGATACTTAAGCAAATATGAAGCCTCCTGTCATGTTGTAAAATTATGTCTATAACTATTTATCTATTTCATCTGTCTGTTTTGGACAGAAAAAAAAAAGACATTTGCACAAAAAAAGGTCTCTAGAGTTTATGGATTAGGCTTTATGAGAAAATCACTATTAATCACCTCACTAGATATTCGTCTTTCATATTCTTTTCTAGACCTGCAACAAAAATGATTTCAGTGTGTTGGCAGAACTGCGAGACTGTGGCCTGACAGATACTGAGACTTGCATAAAAAGTGTCAGCCTCAGTTTACACAATGGGACCGATGTAAGTAAAAAAATATATTTATTGGCTATGGATAAGCCACACACTCTGCTCTTTTCTATTTTCCTGCCTTAACTCACATATTTTTTTTCTTTTTTGTTTGTCAGTTTATCTATATTAAACCCTGTGGAAGTGTATATGTGAACTCATTGTACACCCAGCTACCCGTCTCATCAGGTATGCAAAGTGAAATGTTAACGTTATCATAATAGTTCAAGCAATGTTGAGATGGATGATGGTCTGTTATTTTACTCTTAACAGCAGTCTAGAGTTTGCCCTTCACCCTGTTCAGGGACTACATTTCCCATCATCCCATTTTCTGAGTTTAGATTCACAACTAGCAGGACAGCAGCTAGCTTAAATATCCACAACCAGGTCTGATGCCATATTTCTATATTTAAAAAGACACTTTACCGTACCTTTCAACATTTAAAATGGACAAAGAGGGTCACCTTCATTTAGGCATGATTGCGGGTGTGACAGACGGGGCTGTTCTGAGAAAATGTAGGTGACTTACTAAGAACAATTTATACAACTAAAATGTAATTTTGAACAAGAACAATGTATTATATATATATATATTTGAAACAGGACCCATCATTGTGACATGCTAAAGGAACTAAACTGGCTGTCGCTGGAATCCAGACGCACCCTTCATCTTTCCAGCCTTGTTTTTAAGAGCTTCTCTGGGAAACTCCCACCCTACCTGAACAAAATGCTTTCCTTAGCTGTTCCCACTTTCTATAAGCTCCGATCCAGTACAAGCACTTTACTTAGTCTACCTCAATACAAAAAGAAAGCGGCCCGATCCTCCTTCTCCTACAGAGCGCCGCAATTGTGGAACGACCTCCCGCACAATTTAAAATCTTCCCTAAGCCTAAAGTCATTTAAGAGATCCCTCTCTACATACCTCAAAACAGAATGCACGTGTCATGGTTGATTATATATTTCCTGCCTGTTCTATGTTAAATTTTGTATATATTGTGTATTAATATTGTTTTTGTATTTTGTTGTACCTAATGTAACAATGCAATGATTTGTGGACCCAGGACATACTTGAAAACGAGAGAAATCTCAATGTATCTTTCCTGGTAAAATATTTTATAAATAAATAAACAAATAATATATACACACACACACACACACACACACACACACACACTCTCTCTCTCTCTCTCTCTCTCTCACACACACACACACACACACACAGATATTTCTAAATGCATTTATTGTAGTTTAAAGAAATATTATTTGTTAGTATTATTGCTGTGGAGCTCTGTTATACATTCAGACACACCAACAATATGGAGCTTCTATAAAAGAGACTGTGCCCCCTAAATAGGGACACTTGGGAGATATGTTTTTTTTTTTTTAGTATGACCACTTGTTTTTCTTATGCCTCGTTTGGTTCTATTAAACTGCATCCATACAGGAACTTCAAAGGTGAACATATATTTTGTTCTAGGTTTTTAGATTGTTTTTGTTTATGTATACACCGTGTTTCTCTTTTTTATTATTATCTTAAACAAGCATAGACTTGGGTATTATCCTCACTCACCCAGTGATACATATCTTACAATATCATCTTTTTTTTTTTCTGGGCTACAGCCAGTGTCACCATCTTCAAGCCTTCGTCCTTTTTCATTATCGTCCAGACCAACTTTGGCATCCAACTTCAGATCCAGATTGTTCCTCTCATGCAGATCTATATTTATCTGGATCCTTCCTATAGAAATAAGGTTTGCGGTAAGGAACATGTATATTTATATTATCAGTCATCAATAAATGTGTTATTATTCTGATAGGAATATTTTTGGTAAATTAATTATTCAATTTCACATGCATGATACATAGTCTTGATCTGTATTCATTCTGAATTTTTCATATTGGCAATGCTACCTTCCTGGGTGGTGTTAGGTACATGGAGTTGGTCACATTGTCAGCTAACAGAGTTCTGCTTTCACAGGTATCTGCGGAAACTACAACAATATTCAAGCAGATGATTTCAGAGTTCTCAGTGGAGTGACTGAAGGAACAGGGTCTTCTTTTGCAAACACCTGGATGACCCAAGCTGACTGTAAACTAGTCACAAACAGTTTCGAAAATCCTTGTTCTTTGAGTGTGGAGAATGGTTAGTGGAGTCTACAATCAATTACTAACAAAACTGTGTTTGTTAAAGAAACTGGATCTGTCATTCAGAGGCACCATTTCAGGACTTGCTCCTGTTTTCCAACAAAACAAGAACATTTTCTCATTAGTTCCCCCTCGTACGTTCACTTCCTTTTGTTCATTCATATTTTCTCTGTATTAAAGGATCACTATAGGGTCAGGAACACAAACATGTTTTCCTGACCCTATAGTGTTAAAACAACCATCTAGCCCCCCTGGGCCCCTCATGCCTCCATAAATATAGTAAAAATCTTAGTGTATTCAAGCCTGAAGCTGTAACTCTGCATGTTGTTAGACTCAGAAAAACAAACAGTCTGCTGACATCATCAGAAGTGGTAGCCTGATCCAATCACAGTGCTTCTCCATAGGATTGGCTGAGACTGACAAAGAGGCAGATCAGGGGCAGAGCCAGCATGATTCAAACACACCCCTGGCCAATCAGCATCTCCTCATAGAGATGAATTGAATCAATGAATCTCTATGAGGAAAGTTCAGTGTCTGCATGCAGAGGGAGGAGTCACTGAATGTTTGGATGCATTTTAGGCAGCCATGACCCAGGAAGGATCTCTAACAGCCATCTGAGGAGTGGCCAGTGAAGTTATCACTAGGCTGTAATGTAAACACTGCATTTTCTCTGAAAAGACAGTGTTTACAGCAAAAAGTCTGAAGGTAATGATTCTACTCACCAGAACAAATTCAATAAGCTGTAGTTGATCTGGTGACTATAGTGTCCCTTTAATTGTTTTGGAAAAGTTATACCAACAATAACAGGATAATACTAGGATAGCTTGTTTGTTAGAGATGGCAAGAACCACACTCTTAAATAGGTAAGCAAGATGCATACAAGATCCATAAAAAATATAAAAAATAGGAGCAACATATAAAATATAAAAGATAAATACTCAGAAAAAAAAAAAAAACTTCCTTGTCAGAGACTTTCTACTTATAAGGTCACTTTGGATACACTGTGTATCAAAAGAGGGACAAAATATAAAAATGTAAAATACAATAGATGTCCTACTCCTTAGCACTTCTTGATCCAACAATTTAGTACATATTACCTAAAAAAGCGCAAATGAAACAGGGTTTATATGATGCAACATTGTTTATTTAAGACACCATCTTAAAGAAACGATATTGCACTAAATAAGCTTTTTTAGGTTTTCTGTTTGTGTAACCTAAATCAATTCATTTAGTAGAGAAAACCTAAAAAAGCTTACCTAGAAATTCTGCAAATGTTCCATTTTGATGACAGACAAAATTTTTAAATCATCTTGTTAGTTCCCCACGCTTTCCATTTAATTAATAAATCTCATAGAACATTCATAATTTAAAATAAGTGCCTATTGATTACCCATTTGCTTATTTTGTGTAATGTTTGTTCTCTGTTGTAAGCACACTGAGCAATTACTGATGAACTTACACCTATATTGAACTTTTTTCTTTGTCTTTTTATTTTTAATTTTTTTTTTATTTTTTGCAGAGAAATATGCTACACATTGGTGTTCCATGTTAACTGATCCCAGTGGAGTTTTTGCACCATGCCATTCTAAAGTCAATCCAAACAATTACCTGCAGGTACGTCAATGTTTTATTAATTTTAAAAAAAAAAACCACTATGTGTATAGAGTTTACTGAAAGGGTTACTCCAAGCACCATGACTACTTCAGCATTTTAAAGTGGTCATGGTACCTAAAGTCTGCATGTGCAGCGTTTTGTACTGCAATCCTGCAATGCTGAGTTTAACCCCATTTGCTGCCAGAGGTGTAGCTTTGTAAGGTCATGTGTAATAATGTCCCGAACTGTTCGCCGAACTGTTCGCCGAACTGTTCGCGAACTGTTTGCCACGGTTCGCTGCGAACGGTTCACCCCGAACTCCAGTCAGCAGACACATTCCAGCCAATCAGCAGCAGACCCTCCCTCCCAGACCCTCCCAACTCCAGGAATGTGTCTGCTGATTGGAGACCGTGGCGAACCGTTCGTGGCGAACCGTTCGGCGAACAGTTCAGGACATCACTAGTCATGTGTTTAGACTGAAAGAAAGAAGATTTAGTCTAAGGCAAAGGAAAGGGTATTTTACCATAAGAACAATAAGTATATGTAATGAAGAAGTTGTTTTAAACAGCAAGTAGATGCATTCTTGCAAAAACAGAATATTTAAAGATATACTTTTTCAATAAAGGGTAAATGCTTCTTGATTAAAGGATTAATCCGTCTGCCCTTCTGGGGTCAAGAGAGAATTTTTTCCTAGTTTGTTGCAAAATTGGAAGTGCTTCAAACTATTTTTTTGCCTTCTTTTGGATCAACAGCAAAAAATAAATACGAGGAAGGCTGAACTTGATGGACACATGTCTCTTTTCAGCCTATTTAACTATGTAACTATGTAACTATGTAAAGGGGGACTGCTGGTCCCCCTTTTTACCACTATAACGTCTTAAAGCATAGAATTTAGCAGGGCTAACAGTACAGATACATTAGCTATAATACCATATAGCTAGGAAGAGTTCCTCCTAATAGCCTATAACAGCTTCACCTCCAGTAGCAGCATTACCCTGCTGGGCAGACAATGTAACAGAGCAGCAGGAAATGCTAGCAGAATGCTTGGTTGTATAGGGAGAGGTATTAGCAGTAAAAATAGGGTAGTGCTCATGCCATTGTACAGAACACTGGTGAGACCTCACTTGGAGTACTGTACATAGTACTGGAGACCGTATCTTCAGAAGGATATTGATACCTTAGAGAGGGTTCAGAAAAGGGCTACTAAACTGGTTCATGGATTGCAGGATACAATTTACAAGGAAAGGTTAAAGGATCTTAACATGTATAGCTTGGAGGAAAGATGAGACAGAGGGGATATGATTGAAACATTTAAATACATAAAGGGAATCAACACAGTAAAGGAGGAGACTATATTTAAAATAAGAAAAACTACCACAACAAGAGGACATAGTATTACTTTACTGAGAGGGTAGTGGATGCATGGAATAGCCTTCCAGCTGTAGTGGTAGAGGTTAACACAGTAAAGAAGTTAAAGGCATGCGTGGGATAGGCATAAGGCTATCCTAGCTATAAGCTAAGGCCAGGGACTAATGAAAGTATTTAGAAAATTGGGCAGACTATATGGGCCGAATTGTTCTTTTCTGCCGTCACATTCTATGTTTCTATGTATTATAATGAGAATGACAGTGCCACCTAGTGGTATATTATAATATTAGCTCAGCAATGCAGTCAAATTAGCTATTATATGAAATGGCACAATGATCATAAGTAAAACAAATTACAACTTATTTTATTGCAACAAAAAGCACTTTAGGGAAACTTTAATGTAATGAGAGCTGCAGTCAGAGATATAAGGAAATAAAAAAAAAAAAACGAGATTGGAGATGCATTAAATTTAATCAAATAAACAGCCAAAGGGGTTTAAATAATGGGAAAACCATTATTAGGAATGGGAAAACCAGAAAAATGCACAGATTAGAAAAAAAAGCAAACTTCAAGCATTCTATGAAATGCATAATTTCTTGAGCAAGTCAAGAAAAAATAGACATCCTGCACTTTTGTACATTAAAGGAGATGGCATTGACCCTTTTTTAATGCACTGGACAGATAATCGCGTAGGTATAGGTGCAAACAGTCTCAAATTTGACAGAACCGTCCCACACTTTAGGGTTCTGTTCTAGTAAACAAGTTGCCCCACATTTTGAAATATGTCTGCAGTTTCTGTGCACTTCTAGAGAGGGCAGGCTGTCAGTCAGCCCGTCCACCCTCTTTAGTGGTGTGCCCTTTCATTTAAGGGCCGACAAGTGCCTTATTTAGCTGAACCCACAATTTTTTACAAGTGAACACGTCCCCTTTCCCATCTGCATCCACTTCTTTGATGGGCAGGCCCACCCCTTTTGATGACTCCTATGCCCCCTACACTCCTGTACACTTCCCTGTCGACTTACGTGATTGCATTACAAAATATCAACAAATAACCACTCAAAATAATAATAAACACTTTTTGCATAACATTAATAATGTTGAGATTTTACCTAGTACAAAATAACTCAGAAAACAATCTTTAGATATTTTAAAAACAAAAGGAAAACAATACACGATTCAGTTTAATTCCTTCATATTACTAAGAGGCTGTTATAATATGCTTTTATCTCTAATTTTGGGATTGTAGTATATTTGTCAGGCAAAAATACTGTTTTCATAATTCACAAAAATGAACACTAATTTGTACTACTCCCAATGCCACTGTATATGTTTGATGTTTTATAAAAGACCAGCAAATATTATATTATATATTTCTTCATATTCACACAGAACTGTATGTTTGACTCATGTAATTGTGCCAAGAGTGAGGACTGCATGTGCGCTGCCCTTTCGTCCTATGTATATGCCTGTTCTAGACAAGGAATCACTCTTAATGGATGGAGACAAAATGTCTGCAGTAAGTTATGTGTACCAGCCAATATTGTAATTTGTTATGGTAATCACAAACTAAATCATGGACAGGGTAATTTACTAAAATGGGAATTGTTGGGAACGAAAAATTAATTAAAAGTACATTTCTAATGTTAGCTAAAATAGTCAAACTGAGATCATAGATAATTTGACGGTTTTTCCAATTTTTCTGAGATTCATTTTGAATTCACTATAAACTCATAGACATTTGCAGTCTAGTGAATTACACTGTTATATACTTTAAGAGCCCTTCTGTAAGTGTACACTGCATAATAATGAATAACCTGCAAAACTGCTCTACAAATCACTGATACGAGAATGGTTACACTTCATTCGCTTGCTCCTGCAAACATGCAGTGTTCTAAAACTACAACTACCATAAGGCTAAGCAGTTATCTTCAAAAAGAAAAAGAAATATGTCTGTGACTGACTGAGCTTCATGGGAGTTAAAGTTCTAAAATCCTAGATCACTTTTAGTCATCCATAGAACATTTGATTATTCAGATGATCTCCATAAAGTAGGTTTTGAGATTTTACCTACATTTGTTCTGTATCATACAGAGATGCAGTATTTTAAAAATATGTGTTTTTTCTTTGCACTGTTTACTGATCTAGTCTTTCCATCTGTGTTTTAAGTTCAAATGCTATAATGTAATAGACTTTACAGCTTGTAACTTTTTAATGTCCACAGAAATTAAAAGACAATTAAAAATCTAGAAAATCCAAAAGCCTAATCCATTGACAAATAATACAACTATTCTAGTGGTATCAGATTTTCCCCAAAAGAAGATCTAGGTGGAAGGGGAAAAGGGTCAATAGATAACGAGATAAGAGTTAACCCTTCCCCTCCAAGTAACACCTACCCCAAGGTACCCCTCACTCCACTGGCCCAAGACAAATTAACAAATTATGTATTATACAAATATATTATTTGTAGAGAGTAGAGAGGTAAGGGAAGTAATAGGAAGATTGAGGATAGAGAGAGTAGTGGGCGCATGGAATAACCTTCCAGCTGAAGTGGTAGGGGTTAACACAGTGAGGAAGTTTAAGCATGCGTGGGATAGGCATAAGGCTATCCTAGACTTAAGATAAGGCCAGGGACTAATGACAGTATTTAAAAAATTGGGCAGAGTAGATGAGCCAAACAGTTCTTATCTGCCGTTACATTCTATGTTTCTACAAGGGAAAATACTTTTAAAAAAAGAGTATACGATAAAGTTATAAAAAATATCAAATGTAAATTTTACATTTTAAATAAACAAGAAATAAATATGTAGTTTTGGTAACTTCATGTAGAAGCATTTGAAAGAGGAAGGCTAGATGAAATTGATTAACTTAAACTTTGTATTTAAACCTTAGATACATACACCACCACTTGCCCCAAGACCTTGTCATACAGTTACTCTATAAGCACCTGCCAACAAACATGTCGCTCCCTCAGTGAGCATGACATCACTTGTGACATCTCATTTGTACCTGTTGATGGCTGCATATGTCAGAATGGAACCTACCTTGATGACACTGGTGCATGTGTTCTCTCTACCTCCTGTCCTTGTTATTATAAGGGTACAGCTGTACCTCCAGGGGAAGTGGTCCACGATAATGGAGCCTTGTGGTATGTATTTTATGCCATGATTTTAAAGCAAAGTTTTCTATTTAGTTTGTATACTGTTATTTAAAGGGACACTCAAGATCCTTGCAGCACTTATGCTTTCTGAAATGCTTTATGTGTGAAGAGTGTGTCATCTTTTTTTTTTTTTACAAAAAGTGCAGATTTTTATAAAAATGGACAGTTTTACAAATTAACCTGGTTACACCCCCTGGTTTCCATGCAGACAGAAAGGTCCTGGTACTTCCTAGTTTGTTTAGCTCAGTGGAGATAAACTCATGAGGCAGCAATTGCCCATTTCCTCTTCCATTGGGTATAAGAAGCAAGAGATATCAGACACAATGTAATGAGAAATTAGTATCAAATGTTGAAGCTTAGCTAACATAAGGATGGGGCACTGGCAAAGACTGTCAAAAGTGAGAGCAACTGCCAGTCTTCCAAATAGTAGACATACTATTCCTAACAAGAGTTAATAGAAAAACAAAGGAGCAGAGGGGAGGGGTTAAGATACTCACAAAGGGGCAAAGAGAGGCTTAATGGAAACACAAATGAATAAGGGGAGTTTGATAGACACACTTATGGGGTAGAGAGGGTTAAGAGATTCATGGACCGTTATGACAAACACACAATGGGATGATGGGTGTGAAGCAAGACTCAAGGGGAAGGTGGAGCAGCAAACAAAAAAAAGTACGATTCTGGTGGAGGGCATCAGAATTCTAACAAAGGTATGCCTCTTGTTCTTCTATCTTAGCACCTGTACCAGGGGTACATTGGACTGCATTGGACAACAACCTCCAGTTACAGGTACATTTACTTCTTAATTCCAGCACACTTGTGGGTTTATTTATTTATTTTAAAGTTATTTTTGAATGTTTGGGGAAATTAAGAAGTGATTAACTCAGTTTACACCTGTGCAAGGTTATAGGTTTTGATAAAAATATAAATCAATATAATATAAATGATAAATTATCATAATTTGTAAATACAAATATTGGCATAGTAAGTCAGAGCAGGAACTCATCCTAAAAATGTCCCATAAGGTTATAATCTTTACACAAATAATAATAATTCTTGATTTTTAAATATATTTTTTGCTATACCCTGTACTGTAGTTCACAACATTCTGTAATAAAAAGTGGATTGCCTATAGTAAAATTATAAAAAAAAAAAAGTAAAATGTAATGTAAGGTTTGTTGCTTGAATCATCCTAACTTTCCATTTACTCTTGTGTGTAGCTTGTGCAGCTCCAAAGGTCTATTTTGATTGCACCAACCGAACTGCTGGAACCAAGGGATCAGAATGCCAGAAAAGCTGTCAGACCTTTGACATGAACTGCGTAAGTCCATAGATGAACTCATTCAGTCAAATAAGTAGACCTAGTTCTATCTACAGCATAAACAAGCTTATAATATCAACGTTCATTGAAACCTATAAGAACTAATTCTATGTGTCTCAATAAATCAACCTTGCTTATTAAAAGATATGAGGACTGTAGCTGCTTTTAATTTTGTGACTTGAAACATAGAGCTTTGGTCAAGGTGTAAGGGCAACTTAATATGCAGGTATTTAATCTTTATACAAATAGGAGGTAGCTAGGTGAGGTAACTATAAAAGTGTTGGAGCAGTATCCTTGACAAAAAAAAAGTGCCTAAATGATGCTGAGCATTGGAAAGCACAGGAAGAGGTATTTTTAAAGATAAAGCATAAGGTAATGTTACACTTTGTTACAGAAAACATGCAATAAAGTAAGGTCCAGCATTGTGTACCTCTTGCAGAAGTTGTAGGAGTAAGCAATATTAGGAGCTAAGGATTTCAGTTTGAATAGAGTTAGGGTCTAAGGGTTAACAGGACTTAGGGTTTACCTACATTCGAGATGCTGTGCACTGTAACGTCCACTATTCTTAACAAGACAAAGTAGCCCAAACTCTTAAAACCTTTTAAACCAGGCGTACCCAACTGGTAGATCCCCAGATGTTTTGAAACTACAACGTCCATGATTCTTTGTAATCTAAAGGCAAGCAGAGGCATCTTGAGAGTTTTGGTTCTACAAAATCTGGCGATCTACCTTTTGGGCAGCCCTGTTCGAAACCTATGCTTTCCCTTAACCTTACCATAATCTTTTATCTCAAATAATTTATATTGTAGGCCAGGGATAGGCAACCTTCAGCACCCCAGATATTGTGGACTATACCCCCCATAATGCTCTTATACCCATAATGCTGGCAAATCATCATGGGAGGTGTAGTCCAAAACATCTAGGGTGCCGAAGGTTGCCTATGCCTGTTGTAGGCTAATTGTTTAACCCTTTTTGCATTGTACTACAAGAGAAGGAACATACATATTTCCATTTTTAAACAAACATTCATGGTTACCACATACTGAAATGTAATTTAGACTTTAGTTTCAAATACCTGTGCAGGGTATGGAAATATTTAGATATACACATTTTTACGAATGGAAAATAAAATGCTTTAAACATTACCTGTTTAATCTAATGTATTTTCTTGTTGCCACCTACAGTATAGCACACAATGTGTATCTGGCTGTGTTTGTCCTAATGGACTGGTAGCTGATGATAATGGAGGATGTATTAGCGCAGATCAATGTCCATGCGCACACAACAACGAAGTATTTGCAGCTGGCTCTAGTATCACCGTAAAATGCAATACATGGTGCGTATATTTAACGTTTCATTTTTGAAGATTTAGATCTGACTCTTTAAATGTTGACAATTTAAAAATATCCACATTATCACAGAAAAAAACAAAACAACTTTATAAACATTGAAGCCAATATCTATGACATTTTCGTAATTAAAAACTATTTTTTTTTTCTTATAGTACCTGTGTAAAAAGAAACTGGGTCTGTACCAGTGAGGCATGTTTGGGAACGTGTACTGTGTATGGAGATGGTCACTACCTTACATTTGACAACAAAGGATATAATTTCAATGGGAACTGCGAGTATACATTGGCTCAGGTAAATATCTCCAAGCTACCATAAAAAAATCTAGAAAATTCTACCAACTTTTCTTTTTATCTCTATTCTAGAATAAAATTATCACCTACCATTCCATTTAAGTTTTAACATTTTGATTCTGGAACACTTATCCTTTTTGAATTTTAAACATTACATTCGAAGACATTTCCTGCCTTGTTTGAACTGTGATTAGTATTCAAAACTAAATTACAACACTTAGGCTAGCATAAATAATAAATTATTTGGAACAATTACCCAATTTCCAATAATCACACACCAGGCAGATGTAGTTAATAACATCTGGAGTGCTAAAAGTTGCCTATCATGACCTAGATGAGTGCTGGCATTGGTGAAGAAATGTCCTTTTAGTTTCTCTTCAGCATGTTGATTTCCACACCATAATTTGTTTCAATCTTCTGGAAATTGTATAACTATATTTTTGCTGCATATTGAGAAAATGTTTATTCTTCAAGCTTTTATTGCTTTGTACTGAGAACATTTTATTGTTCAAGGCTAACCTGCTTAAAATGCTCTAAATAAACCTAGGCAGTCTTCCAATTGATTAAGTTTCAGTTTTTCAGTCTTCATAATACTTTACCTGTCTTCAATGTAATTGTTCTAAAATTATTTTATATATTAAGCCTATCGGAATGGTTTCTGCCCTTGCTTTTTCTTCTAACTGATAACATAATTTGACTGTTTGCTATGCATCCTGCAACTCTACCTGGCTAATTTTCCTTTATAGATAAATGGAAAATCTAACTTTTTTTTTTTTTAAATGCTAGGATTATTGTAGCAGTGGCTCTACTTCTGGTACATTCAGAGTAATCACACAAAATATCCCATGCGGATCCACAGGAACGACATGCTCAAAAACTATCAAGGTTTATCTAGGAGTAAGTAATCATCCTCTTGAATGTTTTTCTCTTATAATCTTGTATGTCTTTTTAAGTAGAAAGATAACAAACATGTGCTAAATATGGTTTTATTTTGCTCTTCAGAACTATGAATTTATACTCAGTGATGAGAAATTTGAGGTGGTCCAGAGAGATGTTGGAGAATATGTGCCATACAAGGTTCACCAGATGGGAATATATTTGGTAATCGAAGCATCGAATGGATTGGTTTTGGTGTGGGACAAGAAGACAACTATATTTATCAAGCTTGAGTCAACTTTCCAGGTAAATTATTTTAAAATTCAGATATTATTCAAGAAAACATGCATATATTTGTAGTCTCTTTAGTCACATAAATCCTGGCAACAGACAGGGGATATTTTCAATGGCTTAGTGGTTTCCTCTGTATCTCTGCCAAGACAGTGTGCCTGAAGATGTCATGAAATCTACAGAGAGGTGCAAGTGTAGGGCATACAATGATTATATAAGCATCCGTAGATCCTCAGTATTGAGAATTTACTGAACTTGATGGTAACAGTTAGGCTTATTAGACTTTCAAAGTCTATTATAAGATATTTCTCCTAGGTTCAAAGAATGAACTTACTGGAAAGTATCCACAGCTCAAGAACAGGCTTTTAACATTTTGAGCAGGTGATTCCAACATATACAAGAGGATTTTATTCCTTACATTCACTAGTGACTCACTAGTGCCCAATCCTGGAAAACCCAAAACTTGTATGTATGGGTGTAATTGGATCATGGATAATGTAGGACCACTATGTCCTAGAAAGATTTTCTTGACCTTAACACTTGTAGCAAACGAATAACAGAACCAGAATATTAAGCCACACATGACCTATTTTGTTGGAAATGCCCTTCCTAATATTATCTAATTACTCTGATCTGTAGCTTTGATGACAACCCATAAGGGGGACACAATATAGATTAAATGGAATTTACAAACCACTGCATTATAGTTCTGATGATTTATACATATACTATTTGCAATGCAGAGCTTGCATTTTCGAATAGTTTTGATATTTGTATTGGCTTCACTAACCACCTAATTATGCATCTCTTGTTTTCAGGGTAAAGTGTGTGGATTGTGTGGTAACTATGATGGAAACGCTAATAATGATTTCACCACCAGGAGTTTCTCAGTAGTAGGAGATGTACTTGAATTTGGTAACAGCTGGAAACTTTCACCAAGTTGCCTAGATGCAATTAACCTCAACGATCCTTGCAATCTCAATCCATACAGAAAATCATGGGCTCAGAGACAATGTAGCATCATCACTAGTGCTGCCTTCTCGACTTGCCACCCCCTGGTATGAAATTTTAATGTATTTTTTTGAAAATTAACTAATAAAACACATATTAAATCAGCTGTAATGGGGATGCTCAATGAGAGTATAACATTTAAATTGGAACTGACAAATTTGGCAGCTCAAAAAAACAAACAAAAATGTCACACAAATGTACGTCCACATTTAAAAGGGAACATTACTTTCAGACACCCCTATATTAAAACACAATAAATGTATACAAGCACCCCTTCATACACCAACACTGTACATTACACTGTAGCGCCAGTAAATGCTGCAGCGCTGTACTGATATACAACCTAGAAAGTTTGACTAGGGGTGCCTTGGAAAAATACTGAAATATTAAAGGCAACAGAACCCTGGTCTATACCAATTAAGCACTTGATAAATCAACCTATTTTTCTAAACAATATGCTTAGTACAGTGGACTAAGTAAGGACTACCACTTATTATTCAAGCTCTATTTACAGGTGGACCCAGTTAAATATTATGAGACTTGTGTTAATGACGCCTGTGCTTGTGACACCGGTGGAGATTGTGAGTGCTTCTGTACAGCTGTAGCCTCATATGCCCAAGCTTGCAGTGAAGCTGGCGTATGCGTTAGTTGGAGAACACCAAACATGTGCCGTGAGTATTACTTAAAACTATTTGATAGCTATTCAAAGACCCTGAGGGTTGAAACTTTCATCTTGAGGATTCCACTAAATTATTGGGGTCTTCTTGTCAAAGAATAGACTGTCACAGGTTCTGAGGAATTTAATGGTGCTTGATGTTCTTACTAGTAAATATTCTGCTTGCATACAGGTGACTCAGTTATAGATAAGGTTAAATGCTGACAAGTTTTGATTTCTGCAAGGTTTCACATTAGTATCATAAAATTTTTTTTCTTCATAATGAGTTACTACTAATTAGTTACTACTGGGTTAGAATTTGAAGATTTTCAGGCTCAACTAATTTCAAAAACTCGAAGTAGAAAGAGAGTATACATAATTAACATTGTGCTATATATGTTTTAATTGACTTTTAATATAATGATATAATTAAATATGAAATGCTATTTCTGTGCATGAAATACACAAATGTGTTCATGTGTCAATAGTAATTGTGTATAAGCTAATTATTTCTGGACAGACCAAAACAATATAATGTAATATAATATAATGATATATTATTTTGATATATTTTGGCAGAAAGCTTGCCATATAATATTTTTTTTTTTTTTACTTTCAATGTCAAGAAAACAACTTGTTATCTCTAGAAAACAAAATGTTTTCTAGAGAAAGCCAATTGTTTTTTGACATAACAGGGCAGATAAATTGTAAAAATACACAGCCCCTTTCAGATTCTTCAGATCTTTTTTCTCCAGTTTCTTTGGTTTTCTTCTATATTTAAGCAAATGTTGATTCCCCCAAACAGCTCTATTCTGTGATTTCTACAACCTTGAAGGGCAGTGTGAATGGCACTACAAACCATGTGGGGCACCATGTCTGAAGACCTGCCGTAACCCAAGTGGAACCTGCTACCACCATCTACCAGGCTTGGAAGGTAAGATACTTTTTAAATAGGCAACAATGCAATTATGTTTCTTGTCTCCCTGCACCCGTTGTCTTAATACTTCAGTAAAGCCCACTCATTCATTTAAATATATGGCTATTTATGTACATACATTAACTTCAGAGGCTGCCCTGCAGAGCTTTCTGGAGTTATAGTTTCCACAATAGAAATCAACTAGTTCAACTACAACTACCTGGAAAGCCCTCATGTACAAGGATTTCTGGAATACAATTAGGTCAACATCGGGAATGGATGAGGCACTTCCTGGCTTGGGAATAATCTACTGCAGAGGTTGCAAAGCATGGGTGTTAGTAGCAAATGTTAGAATTTAAAGTGATAGAAGCTTTTTTTATTTATTAATTGATTTAGCATTATTGCATGTTTTGTAGAACACATTGTCAGTATAAGGCATTAAAGAGAATGAATCAACTCCAGCCTATGTTCCTTTATTTTATTTATTTATGTTATATATTCAATATAAAAATCATAGAGTAGTAATTTCTTGAAATGTTGTTGGCTATTAAGTAGTTTGAAGCAACTTCACCTATTCTTGATGTTTAGGCATTCTACACAAAGTTACATTGTGTCAAGTATGTACATATTGTCACTATATAATAGATGCTCAGTTGTTACAAAACATACAGAAAATATGTTTTAAATATATTCTTCGTACTTGCAGGTTGCTACCCTAATTGCCCTGAAGACAAGCCCTACTTCGATGAAGATTTAATGCAATGTGTGCCAGTTTGTAACTGTTATGATAAATATGGCAAAAGTTATACCATTGGACAATCAATGCCTCCTGCAAGGAATGGAACATGCACAGCCTGGCAAGTAACAATTAGGAAAAATATATAATGCATCCACAAATAGCTTAGAACACTCTAGGACACTCTATTGTCTCTAGGATAAGCACCTAATAGGTGCTGCCGCATGCTACATAAAGGTGATTCAATTCAGGGCTCCTTCTTTCGTGGGTCCTAGGCAGTTGCCCTAGTTCTCCTAACAGGCTATGAGTGCACCCATGTACGCTCGTAGCCTGGTATTTAGAACACATGGAATTCAGAACAGCAACATATGCATTTTGACAGTCACCAAATCTGAAATTGTAGCAAATTGAAAACTGAATTTTAAAATGTAGGCAATAATAGTTAATAGCAAGATTCTCCAAAAATCTCAGCTTTTAGCCTACATTTGTGCAATTCAGTTTGTGTTGTAATTTGGTGTTTGGTGACTAAACTCTTTTAAAGGTGTATAAAATAACAACAAAATAAAACAAAATACTTGCCTTCGTTCCTCTTATTTGTATAGTTCAATCAACCAAAAAAAAAAAAAATCTAGTATAAAACAAATATATACTGTATTTCTTACATAGAGATCCTAAGTATATATTATAGTCTTGAATGTTGTGTTCATTGCTTTTCATTACTAAGATGATATGACTAAGTTGTTTGAGAATGTATGTGTAGGGTTCACCACATTCCTCATGTGATTCATATAGAATTGCAGGCTTGCCGTCAAGGAAATATGGGAAGTACTGATTACCAGCCCTAAGGGCACTTTAAATCTCAGTAATCCTTTTGGGGAGAAATATTTCCCCATCTGAACTGCAAGTTCTCTCACACAGCAGACCCATTATCTGACAACCCTTCAAGCTCTCCTTGCTGTCCCAACAGTTGTAGGAGGATGTAATGTGGCATCACTTCCTCTCAGTACACAGATTGTAATATTTATGTTTTTTAAAAGTATATATATATAAAATATTTTTAATATTATATTTTAAAAATTTATTTTAAAACTCTATAAAAAATGAAATAATTTTCAAATATTATGCAAACATATTAAATCAAGTACAAATGTGTATTCCTAAAGCTACAGTGGCCAAGTCATCATTTAGGTGATCATGCACACACTGCCGGGGTTAAAAGGTGAGTTTTATTCATCTTTTCTCACTTGTGATACTGGTCTCAGGTGTTCCACTTCATCTCTTTGAGATCATAGAATCATGGGAGTTGTAGGTTAGTAACGTCTGGAGGGCCGGAGTTTCGGGAAGCCTGATCTAGAGGATAGGAAAGCACTGGAGAGCTAGTGCACATGTTTAGCAAAATGCTGCACTGCGCCAATCATATGATCTCCCTTAGACCATCTGATTTAAATAGTGGAATATTTTTACTCCACTATTTTGGCTGAAACTCCTCTAGTGGCTGCCAGAATGACACCCACTAGAGACCAGTTAATCCTGCGATCAAAATATTGCATTCCTTCGGAATGACAATGTTTTCAGTTGGACATGGCACTCAGATCACTAGAATAGATGAAGAGTCCCTTTACGCTCATAAAGAGTACATCTTGAGGACAGGACAGGTGCCTATAAGCAGGTACCTAATCTGCTTTCCGTAAATAACTCTTCTTTAAAATGCAATATAATACTAATAAGCACTTTCCTTCTACCTTTAGTAACTGCACAGAAAATGGAGAACAATGTTATGATCTCACAGGTATTTTGTTTTTCTTTCATTTGATTTGCAAAATCAGACTAACTCTTTTTTCATAGCTAAAATGGATATAGTCAGTAATCAAACAATTTACCTTTACAAATTTGCATTTTTAAAATAATAATAATATTGCTTAGCTTAATGGGCAAAATATATATGTGAACATTACTATAGAAATAATTATTTAACTAAAAAAATGTGACAAATTGACAAAGGAATTAGCAGTGTATGAAAAAAAAGAGCACACTGTGCTGATGATTGCACCATGAGTACCCTGCAATTCCTCCTCATTGTATATAGTCAAACTGTGTTTGAATGGTTTGACTTCATCCTGGGTTCCACCATGCTCCTCTTCCTGCCTCCACCACAGCTACAGGAGAGCATGCAGTTCCTACTTAAGTGTTTCATTTAGCTCTCTTGAGCCAAGTCTTGAAGTACAGGGCTAACTCATTGACTGAAAGAGTTAGCTGATCACTCCTAGCTAATAAGCTAAGCCCTGCAGCACCATGATTGCCTAAGACAAAAAACTTTAAGCTCTCCTGTTGCTGTAGTGGGGATGGGGAGCAGTGCCTTGAAGACCCCAAGTAAGAAGTCAAACCATTATAAAATAGTTTTACTACTAACTGGGAGGAGGAAGTTCCAGAGTAGTCCTGACATCATAGCTACTACAATGCTTAACAATATGGTTTTTGTATTGTTCCATTAATGTATCTGTAAGACTTAAATATATATATTGTAGCATATATATCTGTTTCTGCTTACTAAAGACACCCCTTTTCTACAGATTGTTGCCTTTATGATGGTCGGATGTTTAAGAACAATGCCATAATCTACAATACTACCGATGGCTTAGGAGGTTGTTTTACAGCTATCTGTTCAAATGGAAACATCACAAGAATTGTTGAAAAATGTTCTACTACTACTACATCAGTACCCACCACACCATTCAGCTTCTCTACAACCTCTCCGGTTACTGTAACAACTACTCCTTCAGTCACGAGTCCAAACATTACAACAGTCACAAAAGGTACATTATGTAAAATGTATAATAAAATAAAGTGCATGCAACCTAATATATTGTTTCCCACTAAGAAAAGAAAACTTAACCTTCATAAATCTTTATTTTTTAAAGACACTTGTTAATAACTGGAGTTCAGTAATAAGCCAGTGAATTGTAGTGTATTGAAAAGTAAGGCTCATACATATATATTATTATTATTATTTGTAAAGTGCCAAAAAATACCACAGTGCTGTACAATTGGTGGATTAGCAGACACGTGCTTGTAACCAGATGCATTGGACACACAGGAACAGAGGGTTTGAGGGCCTGCTCAATGAGCTTACATGTTAGAGGTAGTTGGGTATTGTGACACAAAACTTGTGGACAGCCATATGCATTGATGATAACGATAATATGTGGCATACGTGTAAATACCCTCTTATATTCCATGTGGACATTGTAGTGTGTATTACTGTTTTTAGGGTACCTTTAGATGGATATTTCCAGCATGGTGCACATGTGCATTTGTTATATTATTAATTTTGCTAGTTATATTTTAGTTATAGTGCTTCTTATTACTTTAATTGTTGCAACAAGGAATCATTAGTTAATATTTTTAGTGCACATGATCAAGTCAGAAGAAGTATCTGTTGTGATTACTCTGCTCATCAACAAGTTGATTGTGGGGTATTGGTTACATGAGATTGTGATTTCTCCTTGTGTTGCAAACCAAAATTTATGAGCTGGAACAATTCCCCAGCTCAGGTATAGTCACAGCTGTGCTATTTTAGTCTGTATTTAGTCTGAACTTTGCAAACTAGGTTTTTAAAATTCACCACAAATATAAAGGGACAACGGTAGTCACACTGATTCTACATGTACTCATATACCAGTGACCAATAATACACATGCAAAACTGGCTGAAAAAAAGTGGTGTCTTCCAGACTAGAACCAGTGCCATGCTGATGAGACCCACAAGGTTGAACCTGCAGTCCATAGCTGGCTCCTGGTCATTAATTCTTTTTGCTCATAGCCAATGCTTTAGTTTAAATAAAGCTGTGTTCAAAGCAGTGTCTATTGCTAATGGTAGCTGCAAAAATCCAGTATGAAGTCTTAAATACGATGCTGATCTATGCTCATTTGCATGTCAAGTTTCTATGCCCAAGAAGAACTCTAAATGTCAAATGTGAGTTATGTAATACATGACAGGAATGTTTCTAAAGGTAGATGTATTTTTGTTCCTGTACAAAACTGTAATTTGATGAATACTACCTAAGTAAGCATGGCATCAGGTAATTAATTTAAGGAATTAAGTAAATTCACAACGTTTTGGGGGCTAAGACACCCATGAGTGAATATGTTTGCCAACATATTTTTTGAGTATGTATGTGTTAGTGTTTGTCTGTATATAAGAATGTATATGTAAATTTGAGTGATGGCATACGCTCATATTACATGCATATGTATACATTTGTATGCATCACATTTGTCCATCACAACGTATATATACATATATATATGTATATATATATATATATATATATATATATATATATAAATATAAGTTGTTGGCCAAATGGGAATGTGTGTACGTAAGAGTGTAAGTAGTTAGTGTGCATTATAACCTCCATCTCTTTTTTTCTAAATTGCTTGAAATTTTTTTTAGTTTAGAGTTTATGATTCAATTTAAGGGTGCCAAATTAAATCTTACCTAGGTATCTACTACTCAATCTACAGTATTATTAAGTTTTATGTACTTATACCTGTATCATAAAATTAAATAGCATTAGCAAATATATCTTGAAAGTAAACAAAAGCCATTTACAAAGGAAATATTATACAATGAGAAATCCCATACTAATAATCAGGCCCTAAAAGTTACTTGTCACTGCAAGACATAGCATAGTCACCAGTGGTGAATTTGGACTCACAAGTGCTACATTTGGAGCCCTGTTATACATATATTACATTATTAGTATTATTTACTACATTATAAAATTTAACTATTTGCATCACTATTTTCTTATTTCTGCAGTGTGCGCTGAGTGCAGTTGGTCACCTTGGTATGATATCAGCTATCCATATGTTGGGGCAGACTCAGGAGACTTTGAAACCTTTCAAAATCTAAAGAAAAGTGGCTACAATATTTGTGATGCTCCTCGAAGTGTTAAATGCAGGGCAAAGGCATTTCCTAATGAAAAATTAGAAGATTTAGGGCAAAAAGTAACATGCAGCAAAGAAATTGGATTAATCTGTTATAATAGTCAAAATTTTCCAGTGTGCTACAATTACCAAATTAGCATTGAATGTTGTGGTACCTATGCAGAATGTAGTTCACCAACTACTCCAAGTACTTCTGTAAGTCCAACGACAACACCTACTGTCAGTTCACCGATTACTGGAACAACATCATCAAGCACTTCAACACCAATCACTACTTCTCCTACTTGTACTCAAATGGATTGCCGTTACACAGATTGGTTTGACTTCCATGCTCCTACATCAGACATACGAGATGGAGATATTGAAACTATTCAGGATATTAAATTAAGAGGATATACAGTATGTAGCGAGAATGAATATGAAACTAACATACAATGTGAACCTATTAATTACGGGCAGACACAAATTGGGCAAAAAAATCAAAGTTATCAATGTGATTTAAGGAATGGATTGGTCTGCAAAAACATAGATCAAAAGAGCTCATCAAATATATGCTACAATTACAGAATTAGAATTGAATGCTGTTCTAAGTACTGTGAAAAATCTGTCCCAACCACCACTTCTGTAATCACCTCAAGCCCTCCAACAAGCACCTCACCTATTTCTGAAACAACTCCAGGATCAGCTACTTCAGTTATCACTTCAACAACAACCCCATCTTCCACAACATCTATTGTAACAGAAACAAAAACCCCTACTATCTCTGTATCAACTACTTCAATTCCAACGACATCAATCACACCTCCTACAACCGAGTTAACCACCCCAACTACTACTACTTGTACAAAAATGGATTGCCGTTATACAAACTGGTTTGATTTAAATCAACCAACATCCAGCACAAACGGTGGAGACATTGAGACGTTGGAAAAAATTAAAGCCCAGAATATTGCTGTCTGTACAGAACAGGAAATAGAAACCAACATACAGTGTGAAGCAGCAGTAAGTGGAGGATCGCAGAAACAAGTTTATACTTGTAATCTAAAGAATGGACTAATTTGCAACAACAAAGATCAAACTGGCTCCAGCATTTGCTATGACTATAAAATAAGAATTGAATGCTGTTCTAAGTACTGTGAAAAATCTGTCCCAACCACCACTTCTGTAATCACCTCAAGCCCTCCAACAAGCACCTCACCTATTTCAGAAACAACTCCAGGATCAACTACTTCAGTTATCACTTCAACAACAACCCCATCTTCCACAACATCTATTGTAACAGAAACAAAAACCCCTACTATCTCTGTATCAACTACTTCAATTCCAACTACATCAATCACACCTCCTACAACCGAGTTAACCACCCCAACCACTACTACCTGTACAAAAATGGATTGCCGTTATACAGACTGGTTTGATTTAAATCAACCAACATCCAGCACTAACGGTGGAGACATTGAGACGTTGGAAAAAATTAAAGCCCAGAATATTGCTGTCTGTACAGAACAGGAAATAGAAACCAACATACAGTGTGAAGCAGCAGTAAGTGGAGGATCACAGAAACAAGTTTATACTTGTAATCTAAAGAATGGACTAATCTGCAACAACAACGATCAAACTGGCTCCAGCATTTGCTATGACTATAAAATAAGAATTGAATGCTGTTCTAAGTACTGTGAAAAATCTGTCCCAACCACCTCTTCTGTAATCACCTCAAGCCCTCCAACAAGCACCTCACCTATTTCAGAAACAACTCCAGGATCAACTACTTCAGTTATCACTTCAACAACAACCCCATCTTCCACAACATCTATTGTAACAGAAACAAAAACCCCTACTATCTCTGTATCAACTACTTCAATTCCAACTACATCAATCACACCTCCTACAACCGAATTAACCACCCCAACTACTACTACTTGTACAAAAATGGATTGCCGTTATACAGACTGGTTTGATTTAAATCAACCAACATCCAGCACTAACGGTGGAGACATTGAGACGTTGGAAAAAATTAAAGCCCAGAATATTGCTGTCTGTACAGAACAGGAAATAGAAACCAACATACAGTGTGAAGCAGCAGTAAGTGGAGGATCGCAGACACAAGTTTATACTTGTAATCTAAAGAATGGACTAATCTGCAACAACAAAGATCAAACTGGCTCCAGCATTTGCTATGACTATAAAATAAGAATTGAATGCTGTTCTAAGTACTGTGAAAAATCTATCCCAACCACCACTTCTGTAATCACCTCAAGCCCTCCAACAAGCACCTCACCTATTTCAGAAACAACTCCAGGATCAACTACTTCAGTTATCACTTCAACAACAACCCCATCTTCCACAACATCTATTGTAACAGAAACAAAAACACCTACTATCTCTGTATCAACTACTTCAATTCCAACTACATCAATCACACCTCCTACAACCGAGTTAACCACCCCAACCACTACTACCTGTACAAAAATGGATTGCCGTTATACAGACTGGTTTGATTTAAATCAACCAACATCCAGCACTAACGGTGGAGACATTGAGACGTTAGAAAAAATTAAAGCCCAGAATATTGCTGTCTGTACAGAACAGGAAATAGAAACCAACATACAGTGTGAAGCAGCAGTAAGTGGAGGATTTAAGAAACAAGTTTATACTTGTAATCTAAAGAATGGACTAATCTGCAACAACAAAGATCAAACTGGCTCCAGCATTTGCTATGATTATAAAATAAGAATTGAATGCTGTTCTAAGTACTGTGAAAAATCTGTCCCAACCACCACTTCTGTAATCACCTCAAGCCCTCCAACAAGCACCTCACCTATTTCAGAAACAACTCCAGGATCAACTACTTCAGTTATCACTTCAACAACAACCCCATCTTCCACAACATCTATTGTAACAGAAACAAAAACCCCTACTATCTCTGTATCAACTACTTCAATTCCAACTACATCAATCACACCTCCTACTACCGAGTTAACCACCCCAACTACTACTACCTGTACAAAAATGGATTGCCGTTATACAGACTGGTTTGATTTAAATCAACCAACATCCAGCACTAACGGTGGAGACATTGAGACGTTGGAAAAAATTAAAGCCCAGAATATTGCTGTCTGTACAGAACAGGAAATAGAAACCAACATACAGTGTGAAGCAGCAGTAAGTGGAGGATCACAGAAACAAGTTTATACTTGTAATCTAAAGAATGGACTAATCTGCAACAACAAAGATCAAACTGGCTCCAGCATTTGCTATGACTATAAAATAAGAATTGAATGCTGTTCTAAGTACTGTGAAAAATCTGTCCCAACCACCTCTTCTGTAATCACCTCAAGCCCTCCAACAAGCACCTCACCTATTTCAGAAACAACTCCAGGATCAACTACTTCAGTTATCACTTCAACAACAACCCCATCTTCCACAACATCTATTGTAACAGAAACAAAAACCCCTACTATCTCTGTATCAACTACTTCAATTCCAACTACATCAATCACACCTCCTACAACCGAGTTAACCACCCCAACTACTACTACCTGTACAAAAATGGATTGCCGTTATACAGACTGGTTTGATTTAAATCAACCAACATCCAGCACTAACGGTGGAGACATTGAGACGTTGGAAAAAATTAAAGCCCAGAATATTGCTGTCTGTACAGAACAAGAAATAGAAACCAACATACAGTGTGAAGCCGCAGTAAGTGGAGGATCGCAGAAACAAGTTTATACTTGTAATCTAAAGAATGGACTAATCTGCAACAACAAAGATCAAACTGGCTCCAGCATTTGCTATGACTATAAAATAAGAATTGAATGCTGTTCTAAGTACTGTGAAAAATCAGTCCCAACCATAAATTCTATAACAACTGCTAGCACAGTCTCAACAACCCAATTATCGAGTACTTCAGCAATTTCAACAATATCAACATATTCTGTAACATCTTTAATAACAATCCCACCATCAGAACCATATATTGTTACTTTAACTCCTTCATCCACCACACAAACAGTCCCAGAAACAACTCCTACAAAGACAGTTTCAACAACGACATCATCTAGCACACCTACAACTTCAACAGTATCAACGTCCTCTGAAACAACATCCCCAACCACTCCTTCATCCCCCACACCAACTGTTTCTGAAACAACAACAAGCACAGTGTCCACAACCCCATCATCCAGCACACCAACCATTTCAACAGTTTCAACTACCTCTGTAACATCGTCGCCAACAACTCCTTCAACCACTACACCAACGGTCACAGAAACAACTCCTACAAAGACAGTTTCAACTACCACATCATCCAGCACACCAACAACTTCAACAGTATCAACATCATCTCTAACAACTTCACCAACAACTCCTTCATCTACCACCCCAACTGTTTCTGAAACAACTCCAACAAGCACAGTATCCAAAACTCCATCATCCAGCACATCAACAATTTCAACAGTTTCAACCAGCTCTGTAATAACTTCACCAACAAGTCCTTCATCCACTACACCAACGGTCTCAGAAACAACTCCTACAAACACAGTTTCAACAACCACATCATCCAGCACACCAACAACTTCAACAGTATCAACATCATCTGTAACAAGTTCACCAACAACTCCTTCATCTACCACTCCAACTGTTTCTGAAACAACAACAAGCACAGTGTCCACAACCCCATCATCAAGCACACCAACCATTTCAACAGTTTCAACTACCTCTGTAACAACTTTGCCAACAACTCCTTCATCCACTACACCAACAGTCTCAGAAACAACTCCTACAAAGACAGTTTCAACTACCCCATCATCCAGCACACCAACAACTTCAACAGTATCAACATCATCTGTAACAAGTTCACCAACAACTCCTTCATCTACCACTCCAACTGTTTCTGAAACAACAACAAGCACAGTCTCCACAACCCCATCATCAAGCACACCAACCATTTCAACAGTTTCAACTACCTCTGTAACAACTTTGCCAACAACTCCTTCATCCACTACACCAACAGTCTCAGAAACAACTCCTACAAAGACAGTTTCAACTACCCCATCATCCAGCACACCAACAACTTCAACAGTATCAACATCATCTGTAACAAGTTCACCAACAACTCCTTCATCTACCACTCCAACTGTTTCTGAAACAACAACAAGCACAGTCTCCACAACCCCATCATCAAGCACACCAACCATTTCAACAGTTTCAACTACCTCTGTAACAACTTCACCAACAACTCCTTCATCCACTACACCAACAGTTTCATCCACAGTTTCAACAGTCTCAGAAACAACTCCTACAAAGACAGTTTCAACTACCCCATCATCCAGCACACCAACAACTTCAACAGTATCAACATCATCTGTAACGAGTTCACCAACAACGCCTTCATCTACCACTCCAACTGTTTCTGAAACAACAAGCACAATCTCCACAACCCCATCATCAAGCACACCAACCATTTCAACAGTTTCAACTACCTCTGTAACAACTTCGCCAACAACGCCTTCATCCACTACACCAACAGTCTCAGAAACAACTCCTACAAAGACAGTTTCAACTACCCCATCATCCAGCACACCAACAACTTCAACAGTATCAACATCATCTGTAACAAGTTCACCAACAACTCCTTCATCTACCACTCCAACTGTTTCTGAAACAACAACAAGCACGGTGTCCACAACCCCATCATCAAGCACACCAACCATTTCAACAGTTTCAACTACCTCTGTAACAACTTCACCAACAACTCCTTCATCCACTACACCAACAGTCTCAGAAACAACTCCTACAAAGACAGTTTCAACTACCCCATCATCCAGCACACCAACAACTTCAACAGTATCAACATCATCTGTAACAAGTTCACCAACAACTCCTTCATCTACCACTCCAACTGTTTCTGAAACAACAAGCACAATCTCCACAACCCCATCATCAAGCACACCAACCATTTCAACAGTTTCAACTACCTCTGTAACAACTTCGCCAACAACGCCTTCATCCACTACACCAACAGTCTCAGAAACAACTCCTACAAGACAGTTTCAACTACCCCATCATCCAGCACACCAACAACTTCAACAGTATCAACATCATCTGTAACAAGTTCACCAACAACTCCTTCATCTACCACTCCAACTGTTTCTGAAACAACAACAAGCACAGTCTCCACAACCCCATCATCAAGCACACCAACCATTTCAACAGTTTCAACTACCTCTGTAACAACTTTGCCAACAACTCCTTCATCCACTACACCAACAGTCTCAGAAACAACTCCTACAAAGACAGTTTCAACTACCCCATCATCCAGCACACCAACATCTTCAACAGTATCAACATCATCTGTAACAAGTTCACCAACAACTCCTTCATCTACCACTCCAACTGTTTCTGAAACAACAACAAGCACAGTGTCCACAACCCCATCATCAAGCACACCAACCATTTCAACAGTTTCAACTACCTCTGTAACATCTTCACCAACAACTCCTTCATCCACTACACCAACAGTCTCAGAAACAACTCCTACAAAGACAGTTTCAACTACCCCATCATCCAGCACACCAACAACTTCAACAGTATCAACATCATCTGTAACAAGTTCACCAACAACTCCTTCATCTACCACTCCAACTGTTTCTGAAACAACAACAAGCACAGTCTCCACAACCCCATCATCAAGCACACCAACCATTTCAACAGTTTCAACTACCTCTGTAACAACTTCACCAACAACTCCTTCATCCACTACACCAACAGTTTCATCCACAGTTTCAACAGTCTCAGAAACAACTCCTACAAAGACAGTTTCAACTACCCCATCATCCAGCACACCAACAACTTCAACAGTATCAACATCATCTGTAACGAGTTCACCAACAACGCCTTCATCTACCACTCCAACTGTTTCTGAAACAACAAGCACAATCTCCACAACCCCATCATCAAGCACACCAACCATTTCAACAGTTTCAACTACCTCTGTAACAACTTCGCCAACAACGCCTTCATCCACTACACCAACAGTCTCAGAAACAACTCCTACAAAGACAGTTTCAACTACCCCATCATCCAGCACACCAACAACTTCAACAGTATCAACATCATCTGTAACAAGTTCACCAACAACTCCTTCATCTACCACTCCAACTGTTTCTGAAACAACAACAAGCACGGTGTCCACAACCCCATCATCAAGCACACCAACCATTTCAACAGTTTCAACTACCTCTGTAACAACTTCACCAACAACTCCTTCATCCACTACACCAACAGTTTCATCCACAGTTTCAACAGTCTCAGAAACAACTCCTACAAAGACAGTTTCAACTACCCCATCATCCAGCACACCAACAACTTCAACAGTATCAACATCATCTGTAACGAGTTCACCAACAACGCCTTCATCTACCACTCCAACTGTTTCTGAAACAACAAGCACAATCTCCACAACCCCATCATCAAGCACACCAACCATTTCAACAGTTTCAACTACCTCTGTAACAACTTCGCCAACAACGCCTTCATCCACTACACCAACAGTCTCAGAAACAACTCCTACTAAGACAGTTTCAACTACCCCATCATCCAGCACACCAACAACTTCAACAGTATCAACATCATCTGTAACAAGTTCACTAACAACTCCTTCATCTACCACTCCAACTGTTTCTGAAACAACAACAAGCACAGTCTCCACAACTCCATCATCAAGCACACCAACCATTTCAACAGTTTCAACTACCTCTGTAACAACTTTGCCAACAACTCCTTCATCGTCTACACCAACAGTCTCAGAAACAACTCCTACAAAGACAGTTTCAACTACCCCATCATCCAGCACACCAACAACTTCAACAGTATCAACAACATCTGTAACAAGTTCACCAACAACTCCTTCATCTACCACTCCAACTATTTCTGAAACAACAACAAGCACAGTGTCCACAACCCCATCATCAAGCACACCAACCATTTCAACAGTTTCAACTACCTCTGTAACAACTTCACCAACAACTCCTTCATCCACTACACCAACAGTCTCAGAAACAACTCCTACAAAGACAGTTTCAACTACCCCATCATCCAGCACACCAACAACTTCAACAGTATCAACATCATCTGTATCAAGTTCACCAACAACTCCTTCATCTACCACTCCAACTGTTTCTGAAACAACAACAATCACAGTGTCCACAACCCCATCATCAAGCACACCAACCATTTCAACAGTTTCAACTACCTCTGTAACAACTTCACCAACAACTCCTTCATCCACTACACCAACAGTCTCAGAAACAACTCCTACAAAGACAGTTTCAACTACCCCATCATCCAGCACACCAACAACTTCAACAGTATCAACATCATCTGTAACAAGTTCACCAACAACTCCTTCATCTACCACTCCAACTGTTTCTGAAACAACAACAAGCACAGTGTCCACAACCCCATCATCAAGCACACCAACCATTTCAACAGTTTCAACTACCTCTGTAACAACTTCGCCAACAACTCCTTCATCCACTACACCAACAGTCTCAGAAACAACTCCTACAAAGACAGTTTCAACTACCCCATCATCCAGCACACCAACAACTTCAACAGTATCAACATCATCTGTAACAAGTTCACCAACAACTCCTTCATCTACCACTCCAACTGTTTCTGAAACAACAAGCACAGTCTCCACAACCCCATCATCAAGCACACCAACCATTTCAACAGTTTCAACTACCTCTGTAACAACTTCGCCAACAACTCCTTCATCCACTACACCAACAGTCTCAGAAACAACTCCTACAAAGACAGTTTCAACTACCCCATCATCCAGCACACCAACAACTTCAACAGTATCAACATCATCTGTAACAAGTTCACCAACAACTCCTTCATCTACCACTCCAACTGTTTCTGAAACAACAACAAGCACAGTCTCCACAACCCCATCATCAAGCACACCAACCATTTCAACAGTTTCAACTACCTCTGTAACAACTTTGCCAACAACTCCTTCATCGTCTACACCAACAGTCTCAGAAACAACTCCTACAAAGACAGTTTCAACTACCCCATCATCCAGCACACCAACAACTTCAACAGTATCAACAACATCTGTAACAAGTTCACCAACAACTCCTTCATCTACCACTCCAACTGTTTCTGAAACAACAACAAGCACAGTGTCCACAACCCCATCATCAAGCACACCAATCATTTCAACAGCTTCAACTACCTCTGTAACAACTTCACCAACAACTCCTTCATCCACTACACCAACAGTCTCAGAAACAACTCCTACAAAGACAGTTTCAACTACCCCATCATCCAGCACACCAACAACTTCAACAGTATCAACATCATCTGTAACAAGTTCACCAACAACTCCTTCATCTACCACTCCAACTGTTTCTGAAACAACAAGCACAGTGTCCACACCCCCATCATCAAGCACACCAACCATTTCAACAGTTTCAACTACCTCTGTAACAACTTCGCCAACAACTCCTTCATCCACAACACCAACAGTCTCAGAAACAACTCCAACAAAGACAGTTTCAACTACCCCATCATCCAGCACACCAACAACTTCAACAGTATCAACATCATCTGTAACAAGTTCACCAACAACTCCTTCATCTACCACTCCAACTGTTTCTGAAACAACAACACACAGTCTCCACAACCCCATCATCAAGCACACCAACCATTTCAACAGTTTCAACTACCTCTGTAACAACTTCGCCAACAACGCCTTCATCCACTACACCAACAGTCTCAGAAACAACTCCTACAAAGACAGTTTCAACTACCCCATCATCCAGCACACCAACAACTTCAACAGTATCAACATCATCTGTAACAAGTTCACCAACAACTCCTTCATCTACCACTCCAACTGTTTCTGAAACAACAACAAGCACAGTCTCCACAACTCCATCATCAAGCACACCAACCATTTCAACAGTTTCAACTACCTCTGTAACAACTTTGCCAACAACTCCTTCATCGTCTACACCAACAGTCTCAGAAACAACTCCTACAAAGACAGTTTCAACTACCCCATCATCCAGCACACCAACAACTTCAACAGTATCAACAACATCTGTAACAAGTTCACCAACAACTCCTTCATCTACCACTCCAACTATTTCTGAAACAACAACAAGCACAGTGTCCACAACCCCATCATCAAGCACACCAACCATTTCAACAGTTTCAACTACCTCTGTAACAACTTCACCAACAACTCCTTCATCCACTACACCAACAGTCTCAGAAACAACTCCTACAAAGACAATTTCAACTACCCCATCATCCAGCACACCAACAACTTCAACAGTATCAACATCATCTGTAACAAGTTCACCAACAACTCCTTCATCTACCACTCCAACTGTTTCTGAAACAACAACAAGCACAGTGTCCACAACCCCATCATCAAGCACACCAACCATTTCAACAGTTTCAACTACCTCTGTAACAACTTTGTCAACAACGCCTTCATCCACTACACCAACAGTCTCAGAAACAACTCCTACAAAGACAGTTTCAACTACCCCATCATCCAGCACACCAACAACTTCAACAGTATCAACATCATCTGTAACAAGTTCACCAACAACTCCTATCTACCACTCCAACTGTTTCTGAAACAACAACAAGCACAGTGTCCACAACCCCATCAATAAGCACACACCAACCATTTCTCAACACAGTTTTCAACTACCTCTGTAACAACTTCTTGTCAACAAATGCCTTCATCCACTACACCAACAGTCTCAGAAACAACTCCTACACAGACAGTTTCAACTACCCCATCATCCAGCACACCAACAACTTCAACAGTATCAACATCATCTGTAACAAGTTCACCAACAACTCCTTCATCTACCACTCCAACTGTTTCTGAAACAACAAGCACAGTGTCCACACCCCCATCATCAAGCACACCAACCATTTCAACAGTTTCAACTACCTCTGTAACAACTTCGCCAACAACTCCTTCATCCACAACACCAACAGTCTCAGAAACAACTCCAACAAAGACAGTTTCAACTACCCCATCATCCAGCACACCAACAACTTCAACAGTATCAACATCATCTGTAACAAGTTCACCAACAACTCCTTCATCTACCACTCCAACTGTTTCTGAAACAACAACAAACACAGTCTCCACAACCCCATCATCAAGCACACCAACCATTTCAACAGTTTCAACTACCTCTGTAACAACTTCGCCAACAACTCCTTCATCGTCTACACCAACGGTCTCAGAAACAACTCCTACAAAGACAGTTTCAACTAGCCCATCATCCAGCACACCAACAACTTCAACAGTATCAACATCATCTGTAACAAGTTCACCAACAACTCCTTCATCTACCACTCCAACTGTTTCTGAAACAACAACAAACACAGTCTCCACAACCCCATCATCAAGCACACCAACCATTTCAACAGTTTCAACTACCTCTGTAACAACTTCGCCAACAACTCCTTCATCGTCTACACCAACGGTCTCAGAAACAACTCCTACAAAGACAGTTTCAACTAGCCCATCATCCAGCACACCAACAACTTCAACAGTATCAACATCATCTGTAACAAGTTCACCAACAACTCCTTCATCTACCACTCCAACTGTTTCTGAAACAACAACAAGCACAGTCTCCACAACCCCATCATCAAGCACACCAACCATTTCAACAGTTTCAACTGGAGGTCCAACCTCTTCTCCTCTTTCTACTGTACCAACCATTACAGAATCAAGTTCTTCTTCTGGGTCAACTACTTCAAGTTCAACTGAGACTACTTCTTCCACTACAACTACTGCTGTGTATACTGTTACTGTCACTTCTACTTCTGGAACTACCACATTGTCATCAACACCATCATCATCAGGTTTTACTTCTTCAACCACACCTACAGTTAGTTCTACAATATTTACAACAAGGGTTTCAGAATCTACTCCTATCTTTTCTGTAAAAACTACACCTTCATTATCATCAACCTCATCACCCTTGTCTGTCACCACAACATCATGCTTCTGCAAAGTAAATGAAGTCCTCTTTTCACCAGGTAAGCAGAAATGTTTCTTTTAGTAATGTAAATGTATTAAATATTCATTCACCTTTTGTTTATTAAAGGGACACTATAGTCACCAAAACAACTACAGCTTATTGAATTTGTTCTGGTGAGTAAAATCCTTACCTTCAGGCTTTTTATTGTAAACACTGTCTTTTCAGAGAAAATGCATTGTTTACATTACAGTCTAGTGATAACTTCACTGGCCACTTCTCAGATGGCTGTTAGATATCCTTTCAGGGTCATGGCTGCCTAAAATGCATCCGAACATTTAGTGTCTCTTCCCTCTGCATGCAGACACTGAACTTTCCTCATTGAGATTCATTGATTCAATTCAACGCTATGAGGAAATGCTGATTGGCCAGGACTTTGTTTGAATTGTGCTGGCTCTGCCCATGATCTATCTCCTTGTCAGTCTCATCCTATGGAGAAGCATTGTGAATGGATCAGGCCACCACCTCTGATGATGTCAGCAGGCAATGAGTAGGTGAAAAGGAAACAGGGACAAAGCCAGCAGCTTCAGACTTGAATACAAGCAAATTTTTTTTTATATTACAGAGGCAAGAGAGAGTCAGGAGGGCTAGATGATGGTTTTTTGTAACCCTTTAGGGTCAGGAATACATATTTGTGTTCCTGACCCTATAGTGCGCCTTTAAAGTCGAACAAATAAAAAGCTAAATTACCTACATTATTTTTTTTTCCACATTGTGAACATGGTTCTAGAAGCATGTTAAAAAGGAGTTGTACTTAAATTACTGACAGAAGAAATTTGTTTTAAACCCTTATATCCAAAATAACTGGATATACATTCTGTTGGATCCTGTGCTCCAACTTATGAAGATATAAAGTACCTGGTGCTCTGGTCACATTTGTATAGAAAGGTAAACATACCGGCACTCCAAGGGTTTCCAAATATAAACCTTCCTTTATTCCATATATCGGTCAACGTTTTAGCTCCTCTGTGGAGCTATAATCAGGACACCCCCTCATAATTCCAATCTATAACACAAACATGTATATATATTGTTATTCATACAAATTAATACAAAGCAAGAGATTCCCTTATATGGTTTTCGCACAGGAACCTCACGAACAGAGACCGGCCAGGGCACCTATTCTCCTGGAACTATTTGGGGCTACCAGGTCGTGTCTGGCCGGTCAAATCTTAGACACAATGCCGTTCCCGTTCTACCAAATGAATCTGAGTGATTCTTGGATATGTTGGTCTCTTAGACCAATCAGGGAATAGAATCAGGGGCTATCAGGGAATCTACTTTTTGTGGGGTTCCTATGTATAGTTGGGGGACTTTGAGGGTAGGGAATATTTCTGGGATTTTTTTTGTACCTGAGAGATAATTAAATTGGAAGAGTTTACTCGGGCGATTATCTCTTAGGCACAAGGGATCCTGGGATTGAAACCCTTACATTTTCTGCCTGTGAGACCCCTTCCATGGGAGATGGCATAAAAGCCGTGTATGTGTGAATAAAATTCAGTTATACTCCCAGAGTTGAGTGTCGTCCAGTTGCTGAGGATGAGGTGGTAGATTCTTGGATTGCTTTACATGTTCCTGACTGTAATTTGGTGTAACCAGCAGGACATCCCTGCGAGGACTAGGGCTCTGCTACAATTTCATTTGTACTAATGTGGGAAATATCAAGTATTCAGCATCAACTCAAAGTGACTTTCACATTGGTAGGCTAATACAGTAAAACTGGAATAATTCTTACAGCTGAATATATTTTGAAAACAAGAAAAAACAAGTTTGCGCTAAGTATAAATTGAAATAAGTGTGGATGTATATATCTACACTAAAGAATCTTCTCCTCAAAGGCTTGTAGAAAAAAGACACGTTTTTATTCCTCTGTAAATTTTTAAGTATATCTAAGTTTTTTCTATCACTATATATATATATTAATATATATATAGTAAAACCAAATAGTGATAGAAACTGCTTAGATATACTTACAAAGTCCCAGAGGAATGTAAAAAGGGTATTTTTTTTCTATACGCCTTTGAGGAGATACTTTAGAGAAGATCAGTCAAAGGTCCTCCTTGGCATTCAAATAAATAAGGTTTTGATTCAGGTAGGGAGTTCTCTTATTGGCATCTCATGTAAAATATAAGCAGAAAAGAAAAACCAATAGTGTGACCCAGTATGTTCAATATCTCAATTATGTGAAGAAAAATAATGCATTCACAAGGATAGAGCTTCAAATCAGCTCATAAATAAGGCTCTGAGTGATATAATCCCCACTCAGGGATGAAACTGGAATTTGTCTCTTGTGAAAATTACTCAAAAATTTCAAGAGCACCTTATGCTCAATGATATCACTTTAGGTCGAATGATTCCCATTGAGGATATATATGAGTAGATGTAGATGTTGTGATGATCCCTGGAGAGGCTCCTTTAAGATGATGAAATAAATGCAGGATAAAAAATAAAAAACATGAGATTTTGAGGGTAAAAACAATATATATTGTAATATACCATACAAAATGAAATAAAAGCAAATTAAAAAAAGTCCTTCTGAATAGTCACAATCGGTTTCACCCTTGGGCTTTCTCAAGTGACCACTGTGAACACTCAAAGAGAAAGATTCCAGCTTCATCCCTGAGTGCTCTATCCTTGTGAGTGTATTCTTTTTCTTCAGATAATTGAGATATTGAACATACTGGATTGCACTATTGATTTTTCTTCTCTGCTTATATTTTACATGAGATGCCAATAACTTCTTACCTTAATCAAAACTCTTATTTATTTGAATGCCAAGGAGGACCTTTGACTGATCTACACTAAAGAATCTCCTCCTCAAAAGCTTATAGAAAAAAAGACACATTTTTATTCCTCTGTGACTTTTTAAGAATATCTAAGTTATTTCTATCACTATTTGGTTTTACTGTGTATATATATATATATATAAAGCCTTGCCAGTGTGGTTGTCCTGGATCAATACCTGCTAAAAGTCCCATATGGGGACTGAAATGTTGAGCCCATGTTTTAATCTTGCTAAATAAAGAAGAATTTTATTGGAAACCGTGAGTGCTGCCATGTCTACTACTATCTGGATATTAAAATCCCAGGCTAAGCACCCGGCAAGTATTTATACATATAACCTGAGTGCAAGGATTTATCACAGCATTTATATATATATATTTCAATTTATACTTGGAGCAAACCTGCTTTTTCTTGTTTTCTACCTATTTTTTTCCTTTGGATTGTTAGGGTATCCAATTAACGGAATCTGCTGGCATTTGAGTGAGCGCTGTATCTCCCCCTCTCTTTGTTACTGAATATATTTTGAGTTTGGCTTCTTTGGGCTACATTTAAAATTGACTTAGAATTCCATACATTTCACACATTTAATGAATAATTTTATAAAATGATGTTCTTTTTGTAATAGCATAAATTTTGCTTTATTTTGCATGTTTTTTTTTTTTTACTGAATGCATAAGTGGTGAAGTGACTAGACCACAAAAATACCCTAATAAACCAGATAAACCAGACTGTAAAACAATTCAAATCAGTTTGTCTTCATTTTAATTATTCTGGCATAAAATTTGAAATTCACACCTAATTCCTGAAAATATATGCCTGAAATACCTTGTCAATAGATACGAAGCAGCCTCATTGGAACAATAAGTGTAACGTTTTGGCCTTTGCAGAAACCTTTGATAAGCTTGGCAATGGCCTCTGTATAGGCAAAAACATTGCACTTCTTGTTCCAATAAATCTGCTTCATAATAGATCTGGAGTGCCTTGGCCATATTTACTTCTTATTTGTTGTATTGGGGTTTACCCGCCCTAGGTCTGGATAACCTAGATTCTAATGTAGCAGTGCAGTATCTGTTCCTGTGTAATTACCATATTTGAAATACCTTGTCATACTTGGCCAAACTAGAGTTTTTTTCTAATTTGAGTATATTCGTCTAAATCATGCAAGTAAGTTGTCTGCCCACTGCAATCCATTAGCAAGTGAATTTAATCATCTGATTGTGTAAAATTAAGATAAACTTTAGTATAATTTATTTTTTAAACAACTGACAATATACAGTTAAAGTGAAGAGTAAAATATGTTTTCAGGAGTATTTTGAAGAATTACATTATATTTCAGGTGAAACAATCTACAGGACGAAAGATAAGGATGGCTGTGAATATTATGCAATATGTGGTAGTCAGTGTACCCCTGAAAGCTTTGTGGACAACTGTGTCACGTCATCCCCCACTGTCTCATCAACACCAACCACTGTTCCTTCAACACCAACCACTGTTCCTTCAACACCATCGACAGAGATTACTGTTTCATCAACACCATCAGTATCAAGAACCACACCTTCAACAACTTCTCCTATATCCAGTCCCAAGCCTACAACTGCTCCTGTATCAAGTACAAGTAAGTAAATGCTTTTAATGATATGGTGTTTAGAATATGTGTTTTTGTGATATGATATGGTGTTGCTACTTAATGGTTTTTAAAAGACTGCAGCATCTATTGGCAACAAAATAACAAGCATCATTACTATATTGCCATATGGCAATAGCAGGAAGTTAACTCATATTATTTAAGAAGTTTAGTTCGTATTCTTTTGCTAGCTGGTACTTATTGGAGTAGATAAGAATCATCGTGGTGGCAACACTGTAAATCTTGTTTGTAATCTCCTTTAACAGCATCTCACATATGTGACTGTCAAATGCCGCAATGTGGTCCAGGCTTCCGTGTCGCAACACTAATGCCTTATGGAGCATTCTGCCCCAACATTACATGTGGTAAGTATCTATTACTTGACTGTACATGATTTTTGTCTCTGTGTCCATCCCTCATTCTCTATGTGTGTATCTTTCTGTCTATCAATCTAATGGCCTGCATGAGATTAGTAGGAGTTACACTAGCTAGACTCCTGAACAGCACCTTGTCACAATTACTGTGTGACCCAACACACAGAACTATATTAACACAAACAACGTATACCTTAGAATGGCCAGACTTAACGTAAAAGAGAATGGTCAAAAAACAAGCCAAGGTCGGGGATACAGAAGGAGACAATACGAATAACTAGCCAAGGGTCAGGATACCAGAAGAAGGAAAAGTCAAAAACAATAGCCAAAGTCAATAACCAGAAAAATATACCATGAATGCGCTCTCTGACAATCAACAAGTGGAAACCATGACAGGGCACTGAGAAAAGGAATTACAGGGTTTTAATATGCCTCTCAGTGCTGTGATTGGTTAGTACATGGCCTTGACCCCAAAACGTGTGTGTGCTTCGATAACATGACATCACACGAACGCCGGCACCATCTTTAATGTGGGCAGTGCACCCTTTAACAGTAAGAATGGGACCTTAGAATGCCGCACCAGCCAGGATCCGTCTTCTTGGAGTTTTGGGCAGCATTCCGCCCTGATCCAGGTAAGTAAATGTTTTCCTTTTCTGCGTGACTGCCCTGCTCATGTGCGGCCACGCTGATCAGGGACTTACTTTTATCTGAAGTATCGGCGTGGCCGCACTGATCAGACGCGTCCGCGTCGAAACAGACCCCCTGCGCCGTGACACACCTGAAAGAAGGTGAAATTGCTTCAGCATGGCATTTTGACTTGTGCAAATCTCAGACAGTTCAGAAACATGTATGTTTGGTAATGTAGGGATTAATGTGTTAACTCAATACATTAATCCATACATTACCAAATGTGCTGCAATATCCAATAAGCATTAACCCCTATTTCCAATACTACTCCAGCACTAAACCCAATTTAAGATTGTCATGTAATATAAAATATACATAATGGTGAGGGCATGTATTAGAGGAAAATAATACAGATTATAAATGAATATATATATATATATATATATAAATATATAGTTGCATGGATCATCTTTCTGCTATCTGAAGGCCATAATCTGAGACAGATGCATAGTACAGTCTACATAATGGTGAACCATACATAATGGAAAAATAAAGCAATTGAGAAGAGATTAACCATGAGATCGGAACTTGAGTCTCAAGAACCCCAAGATTATTATTCTGAATTATTTTCCCATAATGCATGGTTTATATGCATTTAAATATGTATGGAAGCTACTAGGATAGTGTGCGGTTGTTATAAAGATTCCATTCTTAACTGTTCCAACACTGAGACAAAGGAAACCTCCACTGGCATGAACATGTGTGTGTGTGTGTGTGTGTATATATACAAATATATACACACACATTATAATTAGATATGAATTGCATAAATATTTATTGGTAACCCTCTTTCCCACCAAAAGCCAGCCTTACTGTGGGGGTCAGGGTGTCCAGCAGAACATAACATTTACACTTAGTTTGCAGTAGTGTTTGGTTCCACTTTTTAGTATAAATGAACTGCTGCATAGTTAGTACTTACTGTGGCATACCCATGGACTACTGCCTCATCTTAAGGCATATTTAGTAGTGTAGGTTGGCAAAGTGGTAAATTCCTCTCTGCTCCTCAAAAAACATTTACATTTCTAACTTTAAGTTATTTGGCCCAAAAAAAAAAAAAAAAAAATATATATATATATATATATATATATATATAAAACAAAGCCAATTCCTGCACTCCAACCCAAATCCAACAGTACCTGGTGCTCTGGTAGCAACAATCACAAATCCAAGAAAAATACCGGCACTCCAGGCTTTTCAATCTGAAAGATACTTTTAATCCACATCTTCTGTCAACGTTTCAGCTCCTCATGGAGCTTTCATATATATAAAGAAGTATACATATATATAAAGAATTAATTTATCCATCAATTAACTAACATTTTTGCCTTCATTTTTTTAACAGTTCCTGAAGCCGTTTGTGTTGTGGGAAATGAAGTATACCAAGTAAGATAATACTATATTTTACAATGTTGGAAATTTTGTTTAATTTAACAGCTGAATTTATAAAACATCAATAATTATTTTAGATAAAGTATGCATTGCTAATTTAAAAATGTACAATACAAGGAGTCAATGTGTGTTTGTTTTGAATAGATCAGAGGCAGAAAATATAATTTTAGAATGTTTTGTAGATGTTAGACAGAAAATGTAGTTATGTTGTCACATAACCTGCTTTACGTTAGTAATTTGTAGCAGTGAATGTAGATTCCCAAAATGTCAGGACAATATGTAACATTATTGGCACAAGTGTCATTGTAATAACTTTATATAACTTTTAATACGATATGAACATTGCCTTTGTGCTGGAACCATTATTCTGTAAAAATAATATAATTCCACTTTACTGAAAAAGGCCAAAATAATTAAAAAGAAATCTATAATCATCAACAATATAAAGTAATTTGCAAATTTACTAAAATTCCATAATCAGTATAATGTGATGTTAGAGACTAAGGATATTTTCTATGTTGTGTGTACAATAGTATTTTTAATTAAAGCATCATTAACTAAAGGTTTAGTTTAAGCACTATAACCACATCTGCGGTCTGTTTTGGTTAAGATGCAAAGGTCCTGCGTGTGCAGAGTTTCAATTTGAATTGCTGCCGGATCTGAGATACTATTTACCTTTGGTGCAGAGTTGTAATACTCTACCTCTGGCTCTTGTCAATCAGATAAACTTTATTTCTGAACTGGCTATAGTACTTTTATCCAAGTTTTCCACTTGCACACCACACACACAACTGGGGCTAAGCCCTTTCTCCTCCTTAGTGAAAGATCCAAGCTGTGGACTGCATTAGTGTAGGATGCAGCTCTGTAAAGAAGTTAAAGGGACACTATAGTCACCAGATGATTGTAGTGTTGCTGGTGTCCGTAGCATTTCCCTGCAGGTTTTTCACTGTACGCACTACCTTTTCAGAGAAAAGGCAGCGTTTACATTGCTGCCTAGTAACACCACTTGTGGCAGTCACTCAGGCAGCCACTAGAGATATTTCCTAGTCCAGCGATGAACAATGTGCTGCACTGCCATTCAGCGGCTCGACACTCTGAGGGGAGTTACTGAACGTTCCCATAGAAATGGATTGATTTAATACATTTCTATGAAGCAATGCTGATTGGCGCAGCATGGCGTTTTGCAAAGATTGATGATGTCAGCCATGGAAGTGAAGCCATGTGGGACCTGTTGTGGCAAAACCGGCAGTGTGGGAGAAAAGGGTGAGCAAAATCACCATTTCAGTGAAATCGGAGCGAAGCAGGCCACCTAAAATACCACATTAGGACTAGTGTTCCATTATCTTGGCCCTATTCACTAATCATTGAACTAGTCTGAAAAACTAGTATACTTACATTATAGGACAGGAGTCAAAGATGGGTTAGCCCGCATCTGCAGGGAAACCCACAAAAGAGTGCACAGAGGGAATTTTATATGTATCTTTATTTTTATTTTTTTGCATTATTCTTTTAATGCATTACATAGAAACATAGAATGTGACGGCAGATAAGAACCACTCGGCCCATCTAGTCTGCCCAAGTTTCTAAATACTTTCATTAGTCCCTGGCCTTATCTTATAGTTAGGATAGCCTTATGCCCATCCCACGCATGCTTAAACTCCTTTACTGTGTTAACCTCTACCACTTCAGCTGGAAGGCTATTCCATGCATCCACTACCCTCTCAGTAAAGTAATATTTCCGGATATTATTTTTAAACCTTTGCCCCTCTAATTTAAGACTATGTCCTCTTGTTGTGGTAGTTTTTCTTCTTTTAAATATAGTCTCCTCCTTTACTGTGTTCATTCCCTTTATGTATTTAATTGCCTATATAATGCATTAAAAAGGTAGTAATATTTACCCCATAGATTTTCTTTAATGTGGTAGGGTGCTGCAATTCTATTTATTTTAGTTTACTTAGTTAAAGTATTAGGGTTTAATATACAGGTTGACGTTTAAATGTAAGGATTTACCAAAGTAAATTTTATTAACTTTACAAATTAACATTTTTTTTTTCTCTAGCGTGGTTCAAACATACCACAGGCCAAAGAGGTCTGCCAGACATGTACTTGCTCCTATGATATGAACATGGGTTCCGACTTTTACGCTATTAAATGCCAACCTATTGTGTGTGATACAACTTGCCAGCCAGTAAGTTCTACTTTCTCACCTGAGTATAATGTTTTGTGATTGCTGGCAACATATTTTTATATGGATTACATGTTTTCTATAATACAATTTTACTTAAAAAATACAATTTTAATAGTAAATGAACCTATTAACCACTTCACTGCCTAAATCAAGAAATAAAATTTTTTACATTCTTGTATTTTACATTACGAAATGTAGTCAATAAAGCCTCAGTCACCTTAATTTATACTCTAGTTCTGAAAACCAGCCTGTAAAATAATGCATTTTTCTACCAGAAGCCACTAGTAACTGAAATAATGCCTGTGAATTTGCTGACAATGTAAGCTTGCTCTGGCTTTCAAACAATAAAAGAGGTTTCAATGGGTTATATTATTCCTATGGTCAGGGAGGGGAGAGGAGTGAAATGACTCTAAAATGTCACTGTTAGAATTTCATTAGTATTCCAGATTGATAAAAATTGTTATACCTAATTTAAATATTTTTATTTTTTAACAATCTGTGACTTAACTATATTACTTTATGTTGGCTAATACTTTAGAATACAAACAAAAAATGAAACATACATTCTAGCGCCCTTTGTCAAACTATTATTAACTTATGTATAAAACAGAAGCCTGGGCTGTTATGGATGTCAAACTCCAAATCTCCACTAGAGTAATCAGACAACAATAAGAAAAAAACAAACCAGCAGATTTGACCATCTGGTTACTGAATTTGTAATCCAATAATAAATTAGATTAGACACTTCTCCTCTAGTCCTTTACAATGAACAAAGGAAGGTGTTTTTTTAAAAAGCTTTCTGCAGCCTTGCAGACTGAAACATCACAATATATTTTCATAGATAATTTGAGTCTTGTAATACTTTTTATGTATTTAATTGTTTTCGGTTACTTAACATATTTTTGTATATGTTTGTAAACATTATGTGTCTCTTAAAATGGGTTCAGCATCATTGGTTATATTCTTTTTTTTATCTTCACTCACTAGGGTTTTGTATACAAACAGAGGTCAGGAGCATGCTGCGGTGAATGCGTGGCCCAGCAGTGCACAATGAAAAGCGATAATGGTACAAACGTAGACATTCAGGTAAGTGTTTTGTAATATTTCACACGCAGATGCCTCCAAATTTAATTAGATTTACTGCATTGTTCATATTTCCGGCAGTAAATGATTAATTTACAACCACCTGCAGTAATAAATAATAACATTGAAATGGTCATTTACTAAAGTGAATAATTGAAAGTGAATTTCAAAATTTAGCCCAAATTAGCCAAATTAGAAAATATTTCAATACATTTTCAGTTTGAAAATTTTAATTTTAAGTTTTAAATTCACTTTCTCTTTTCATTGAACTACCCTAATAATGTTTCATTTTTATTACTATTAAAATATTGTCAAGAAAAATCTGCCACGTGGTCCATTTGATACAAGAATTTGCCTTGTATTTTCTACAATGTCCAAAATACAACACGAGTTACAACATGGTACCAATTTTTTATTCATTTAAAAAAAATGGATTAAAGTTTGTTCTGGTTTTCCAATTAATTACTTAGGTAGATAATCTTGTTCATTAACATTAAAGGGATACTATAGTCACCAGAACCACTATAAATGAATGTAGTGGTTCTGGTGGCTATAGCATGTGCCAGCAGGCATTTTAATGTAAATGCAAGTGTTTATATTGCTGCCTAGTAACAACTCTAATGGCAGTCACTCAGAAAGTCATTAACCCCTTAAGGACCAAACTTCTGGAATAAAAAGGAATCCTGACATGTCACACATGTCATGTGTCCTTAAGGGGTTAAAGTGCTACCAATCTAAGTGCTCCACAGTGTGCAGTACATTCAGCATCTCCACACTCTGCATGGAGTCGCTGAACATTCCCCAAGGAGACAAATTGATACAACACATGTCTATAATGAGATGCTGATTGGCTGATTGGAGAGCGTGTGCAATAACCTCTCAGTGCTTTCATCTGGGATTGGCTGAGATCATCAAGATTGTGTATTCCTGACACTATAGTGTTCCTTTAGAGCACCCTTTAGCAGGGCTGTATTTCTCTAATTACTCAACTGGTCTTCATAAAGGAAGCACTTAGGATGGACACATACTTTGAAATGAAATGGACTGCTTTACATGTTAATTCTAAAGGTAAGAGTACAGTTAATTACCCTTTTCTTTTCCTTTTCTTAGATTGGACAGGTATATCATCCAACAGAGAGCACCTGCTCCTACTATGAATGTCTTGAAGAAAATGGACAGCCTATCTTGACCAAAGTGAAGACTGTGTGCCAGGATATAGACATCGATAAATGTGAACTGGTAATTTATGGTTTATTTCATCTAATATTTTCCTAATGTATGTGGTATCCCTTGTAATTAAGCACAATTACATTACAATTATTAAATTACAAACAAGATGACTTTTCTCAGTCTTTGGAAATTCAATTAAATTTTAACTTAACAAGATACATTAGATATTAGGTAACTGAAAAGGTAATTTTTTTATTGCTAAAAAGTCCAAATGATTTTATTTACAGAATACACTCACATTTGAACCTAATGGCTGCTGTAGGACGTGTACATACAAAACTGGTAAGGAAAATCTAGACTTGTGTCACTTCTGATGCTATCAGATAATTAATATACAACTCATTTTAGATGACATGATGGCTGCAATATAGATATAAAGTGCAGAATCATTGAGGAAATTATATAAGTGAATGATTTAATAATACCCTTTTGATTAAGGCGATCTTAGTCATATGGAAATAATTCAAATTATAATTTGTGAGAAGATTAGGGGGAAGACTGTGAATTAGGCATAAACTCTGTAGTTTTCCTCTCAGTAAGTAATTTTTTCAAGTCTCATACAAATGTTTAGTTTCTATGTGCCAATACAGAGGGGATTTATACTATATCAGTTTAGTCCCACACACATGAATAGTCCAGAACCCAAATGCTGACAGGTTCCCACTGTACAAGAGATATAGCAACCCTAAACAATTGTTTCAGTATTCTTTAGATTTCATCCGCAACATGTAGTTGATAACCTTCTGGGCAAAGTGAGCAAGATGTCCATGTCTAGATTACCCTTTAGACTTAGGGAGACCCACAAGACATGCAAATACACACTTTAATTAGACAAGCTGCAACACTCTTGTTGGTGTGGGTTTTTTATGTGTACTGATTGGCTTGCTCAGTGTTGCCATTTTAGTCTTTTAATTAATTTAATTGTGTGCTTTCATTATTTATAGTTAATGTTGTGAAGACACCTGAAGTGATCGAAGACTGCAGTGCTCGAAAGAATGTCACAGTTTTGCAAGAAGGCAAATGTGAACTGCAAGTAGAGCTCACATACTGTGGAGGACCCTGCATGGGAACATCTATGTAAGTCACCAACTAGAGTAGATTTATAAATGATATATTGATTTAATCCCTTCTTTAAATTATTGGTTGCTATGTTGAACTATTTTTTTTAATCTGAAATATTTTAAATTCCTTAGAAAGTGTTCTGATATAAAATATTAAAGGTTTGCAAAAAAGGAGTAATGAGAATTTTTTTTTTTTTATTCCAGGTATTCCATGAGTACAAGGAACATTAATCATCAATGTACCTGCTGCACAGAAATGGCTGTACAGACAAAGACTGTTCAACTGCTTTGTGATGATGGAACATACAAGAGCTACAGTTATACTGATGTGGTTAGCTGTGGCTGTGCCGGGGCAGTGTGTACACCATCTGTATAGTGGTTTACTGGCATAAATAATCAACAAAGCTGAGCAAGTAGTAAAGTCTACAAAGTATCATTCTGTACATATGCATTAAGCACCTTTCTCATATCTTTATACCCATGACACATGCTGAGTATGTTTAGACTTTTATTATATATGTAAAAGCTAAATGACCTGTGCACTTACGTGATTTTCTTTACAGTCTACCCTAGATTAAAGTGTCATGAGGTATTATAGCTTAAAGGTAAGCAGAGACATATTGTGATCCACACGTTTAGAGAATGGATATTATTTCAGCTTTAATGAGCATTGTGTCAAAAATCTTCTGAATTTTAATAATTATATTCTCTTGTAAATTAATAATGTTCTGTAATAAATGGTAGCTCTTAATAAACATGAAAAGTGAAAGCATCAAACTTGGCTCCATTGTGAAGAAGTATATTATAAGGTATTCTTTAAAAAAAAAAAAAAAAATAAAAACTACAAGTAACATGAATTTATTTTATCAAAGAGGTAATAGAAACATAGAAACATAGAATGTGACGGCAGAGAAGAACCATTCATCCCATCTAGTCTGTCCAATATTTCGAAATACTTTTAATTAGTCCCTGGCCTTATCTTAAGTTTAGGATAGTCTTATGCCTATCCCACGCATGCTTAAACTCCCTCACTGTGTTTACCTCTACCACTTCAGCTGGAAGGCTATTCCATGCACCCACTACCCTTTCAGTAAAGTAATACTTCCTGATATTTATTTTTAAACCTTTGCACCCTTAAATTTAAGACTATGTGCTCTTGTTGTGGTAGTTTTTCTTCTTTCAAATATAGTCTCCTCCTTTACGGTGTTTATTCCCTTTATGTATTTAAATGTTTCTATCATATCCCCCCTGTCTCGTCTTTCCTCCAAGCTATACATGTTAAGATCCTTTAACCTTTCCTGGTAAGTTTTATCCTGCAATCCATGAACCAGCTTAGTAGCCCTTCTCTGAACTTTTTTTAGAGTATCAATATCCTTCTGAAGATACGGTCTCCAGTACTGCGTACAATACTCCAAGTGAGGTCTCACCAGTGTTCTGTACAATGGCATGAGCACTTCCCTCTTACTACTGCTAATACCTCTCCCTATACAACCAAACATTCTGCTAGCATTTCCTCCTGCTCTATTACATTGTCTTCCTACCTTTAAGTCATCTGAAATAATTACTCCTAAATCAGTTTACTCAGATGATGAGGTTAGTAGGGTATCAAATATCCTATACTCTGTCCATGGATTTTTACATCCAAGGTGCATTATTTTGCACTTATCTACTGAATTATGAATTATCTTCTGCAGTTATGGCCATTTGTTGTATCCTATGTATGTATACATTTTATAAAAGCTCTCTGAAACAAATGGGAAATATCAATGGAGGGACTACCACTGATCGATATATATATATATATATATATATATATATATATATATATCTACAATTAGCAAGAAATATTCTTGGTATCAAAATAATTTCTGGTCTTCCATTACTTCACAATGAGACAATAATATTGAAAATTCAAAAATTATGAAGACAGTGAGATTGAAGGATTGGGATAATAGGTGCCCCACTGACATGCAGGAGGTGGACTATCTAATGGGCTATCTAATGGGGAAGATGATGTTTTAGAAAACAGAAAGACATCACGTTATAGATGGAAGAGAGGCAGTTTGTGACATTCTCCAGGAGGGCGGGATAGAGGTCAGGGAAGGAGAGGTAACTAGTCGTCAGCAAATAGATGTTATTAAAGTCCATAGAGTTAATAAGGTTACCGAGAGAGGCAGTGTAGATGGAAAATAAAATAGGACCAAGACATTGGGGAGCAACAACTAAAGGAGAAAGGGGCACCAGAAAAGCAGACATTAAATGAACGGGATAAATGGGATTCACCATAAATAATGTATAACTAACCTACACATTCCACCAAACTTGTGTGTGTGCCTGGAATGTCCCTTTAAACCACTACTGGTTTGAAATCAAAAGTGGTGTCATTGTCAGGATGCAAGGGTTCAATAGTTCAAGTAAAATGGTTTATTCAAAAGGCTGTATATGACAACACCTGTGAACAGAAGCGCACTGAAAAAAACTGAGAGACCTAATGACAATTAACTCAAATTAAACAACCCCAGTGGAAATGTTTGCTTGAACAGACCTATGTGCTATAACAATATAGTACAGCTAAGTACAGTGATCCTGTAATACAGTCACATATAGCAAAACATGACTGCATGGAATAATACAAAATTTCACTTGGTGGCCAAAGGTACTTGTAATTAAAAAAGGTAATTCATAGTGCTCTCTGTATGAATTACACCTTAGTAAAAAAAAAAATAAGACTAACAACTATCACATTAAATAAGTACAAAAAGGTAAGATAGGGGATCAAACTTGTAAGAACGGGTCCTGTAGTCTTTAGGATGGATGTGCAGTGTGGAAGCTGCAGTCTGCCCAGCTGAATGGTACAGTACCAAAAACTAAATTGGCATTTGTTCCACTCTGGGGTCTGTGTCCCACTTGTTTGCTTCACTCTCAGTTTTGCAAATTGGTCAGTTTGCTGGTATTCGATCAAGGAATTGAATCTTTTGTCTTACGTGTTTTGTAGAAAACAGATCCACTGTTTAAGAGGCAATTCAATGGGATGAATGCTGGATCCGAGTATATTTATGGACAGCTCCTTCAATTGTTGCAAATCTAATTGGACCAGTTACTCTGTGGGTCAGGGTGTTTGAAACTGCCAGAAACATCTTGTGAGAATGGAGTTCTGGATACTGTATTTGGTTCTGAATACTAGTATTTTGATTAACCAAGTGGAAAAAAAGAATTATATTGCCCGTGCATTTGGAAAAAGAGCTAATTTGGCAGAAAGGATTACATCATATACAATGATATGGTACAGTCATTCAGGAAAAAAATATTTAACATCATAATGGGTTGCAATAAGAATTATTAAAGTGCAATGAAAACTGATAACAATTAATGATTGAAAATAATAAAAATTATATGTTCATGGACTCTGATTTGAAAATGTAAAATTGAAAGGTGAATGGCCTACAAGATTTAATGGGTTCTGATGTTAACCTATTGTTAAAAGCTTATAGTGGACAATGTGTATAATAGATAAATAAGAAAAAAATATAAATTCAAAATGTAAGTGGTGCATGTTAGAAAATATAAATAATAATTTAAAACATAAAAAATATACAATTAAGTGAAAAATGCGGGCAGCACATAAATAAAAGACGAGCTTTGTGGGGACGCTGACATTTTCCAGTGGATTTGGGGTTTTCATGAGCTGTAAGCCATAATCACTACACTTATCTCATATCACGGCTTGAACTATATTGCTTTGCATGTAATGTGTCTATCTCATATATTAGTTTCCTCTTTTACATTGCATTACTGAAATAAATGAACTTTTGCACGATATTCTAATTTTTCGAGTATCACCTGTATATTACATAAACATTGGGATATTCTAAAATGTGATCCTACTCTAGCCTCTGTCTTGGATAACTCCTCAAATATCATCTATTCTAAAGCACCCAACTTACCCAAATGAATACGTGTTAGCGCTATATTGGAGAAACCCTCAATTATATACTGGGTACTCCACTTATAATCTATGAAAAAAACAACAACTGCATATGCATAATTTTAATTAGTTATAAAAAACCTTAGACGTATCTACAGCATATATTTCAGTGTGTAGTCGTCCAAAAATTAGTAAGAATATTGTAATGTCCAAGAGTTCTTGGATAGTAGTAGAAAGGGTTAATCTTGCCACACAGGTAGGATCCACAGTCTAAGGATTCAATGTATACCCCAGCAGCAGTAGTACCGCTCATCCTCCTGATTTTATGGGTCATGGCTGAATCTCCTTGCCGTGCAGCCCCCACCACCCCGCGGTTTTCACTTAATTGTATATGTATTCATTTTATATGTTTTACATTATTATTTATATTTTCTAGCATACACAGCTTATGCAATTCATCACTTTTTTTTTTTACTCATCTTTTATACACATTGTCCACTATAAGCTTTTTATAATAGGTTAACCTCAGAACCTCAGATTATTTTAGTCCTTTAATTTTTCATCTTTTAATTTTCAATTCAAATAGATAAACATATTAATTATATTATTTGCAATCATTATTTGTTAGCCTTTTTCATTGCACTTTAATAAATCATATTGCTTGATCCTTCTATTTACATCATTATATTCTACTTTATTCTAATCTCATTCATTGGTTTAGAAACATAGAAACAAAGAATGTGACGGCAGATAAGAACGGCCCATCTAATCTGCCCAATTTTCTAAATACTTTCATTAGTACCTGGCCTTATCTTATAGTTAGGATAGCCTTATGCCTATCCCACACATGCTTAAATTCCTTTACTGTGTTAACCTCTACCACTTCAGCTGGTTTATATCACCTTCTTAAGGACCTAGATAGGGCTGAAGCAATATGGATCTATAAACCTATTACTTGAGTCCCAATGTCATCAACGTTGACTTTAGCTTAATGCATTTCTATGAGGTCCTCCAGTCTTTTTCCCATTAGGCTTGTATGCAGTCATATGGCTTTTTTTTTTCTACACCCACTCATCCAAATGCAACTTAACTATCACATTTAGAATGGTTCATACGCAAACCAGCATTCAGATTTTTTGTAAGATATCTTTTCTTTTTATTTGCTTCATCCTACTATTAACATCATATTCTACTTTATTCTAAATGTATCCATTGGTTTATATCACCTTTTTTTTTTTTTATGGTCCAATTCAACAATTATCATTTATGTGCTAGCCGCATTTTTTACTTATTTGTATATTTTTCATGTTTTATTATTTATAGTATTATTTAAAAAATGTTAACATGCAACACTTACATATTTATCATTTTTCTTATACATCTATTATACACATGGTCCACTATAAGCTTTTAACAAAAGGTTAACCTCAGAACCCATTTAATCTTTTAGT